ATTGTTGAACTTGACTCTGCTCAAAATTCCAACATAGTTGCAGCTCAAAAGTTCGGCAAAATGTGACAAAATCCGAAAAATCAAATCGACATTTGCAACATTGTTGTAGTCCCGAGAAGAACGATTCACAACATTGTTATAGTTCCGCGAGAAGCTCTTTGCAACATTGTTGTGGTCCGAGAGAAGCGATTTGCAACATTGTTGGACTTGCAATATTGTTGAAGGTTTGAGCCGAGCCATTTGCAACACTGTTAAACCAGGAAATATCACAGATATGGGGGAAATATCACAGAAATGAGGAGAAATTATAGGGAAATGTACCAGGAAGTAAAGGGAAATATACCAAGAAATGGAGGAATATTAAAGGGAAATGTGTAAGGTAATGGAAGGAAATTAAAGGGAAATGTGTAAGGTAATGGAGGGAAATTAAAGGGAAATATACCAGGAAATGGAAGGAAATTAAAGGGAAATGTGTAAGGTAATGGAGGGAAATTAAAGGGAAATATACCAGGAAATGGAAGAATATTAAAGGGAAATATGTAAGGTAGTGGCGGGAAATTAAAAGGAAATATACCAGTAAATGGAGGAATATTAAAGGGAAATGTGTAAGGTAGTGGCGGGAAATTAAGGGGAAATATACCAGGAAATGGAGGAATATTAAAGGGAAATGTGTAAGGTGATGGAGGGAAATTAAAGGGAAATATGTAAGGAAATGAAGGGAAATGAAAGGGAAATGTAGCAGGTAATGAAAAGAAACGAAAGGGAAGTGTCAGGTGTTGTTAGGAGGCCTTCGAATGCCTTAGAAAGCCTTAGGAAGTCTTGTGACTTTTTGGAAGTGTTAGAAAGTGTTGGGAGGTCTTAGGAGGCCTGAAGAAGTCTTAGGAGATTTTGGGAGATGTTAGGAGTTGTTAGGAGATTGTTGGAGGTGTTAGGAGGTGTTGGAAGGATGTCAGGAGATGTTAGAAGTATTTCGCCGTCAAATTTACTTACCGTCTACTGCTATAAAATAGTACAGAGTTGTTCAATTTAGGCCAAATGTATGTACTACTCGACTAATTTTGCAGCACCGAGATGCAGGCGCAGGTGGTGGCGGCCAGTCGTTGATCTCTCCGGGATCCTGTCTCGAGGAGTTCCGCGCAAGACCTTTCATCGAGTGCCGTGGCTTGGGCACTTGCAACTATTTCTCCACTGCAACGTCCTACTGGTTGGCCACTATCACCGACTACGAAATGTTCCGCAAGCCCTCTCAACAGACCTTGAAGGCAGACCACACCTCGCGCGTCAGTCGCTGCGCGGTGTGTCTTCGTCGTCGCGTTATAGAAAACCCTTACGGCCATTCTCTAACGCCGTTCACGTCGAACGGCCAGAAGGAGGTGGCTGGCAACATCCAGTATCCACCACAGCAGTACCCAGACTATCGACGCCAGAGGCGACCGCCTACTGGCAGAGTACGATACCCCAACAGAGCCAACCAATACCGCAAACGAGGACGGGTCCGCAAACCCGAACGACCAGCGGAGGACCCGGAAGCGGCTTAAAGAATTGCGACGTCAACAGCTACGGTCTTACCAGTGATGTTCAGGAGGGTAGCGACTCTGTGTATATAAACAACGAAACGAGATTTCCGAACCAGTCGCTATAGATAAGTTGTGTCGCGTACCCCTCCACGATGGCTGGTGGAGGAGTACTAATTATTTTGCCCATATCTGATACGATTCCATCCCCGAATTCAGGGATGATGTATGCCTTATGCCAAAAATACGGGGACCGAGGTCCCCAACGAAACTGCCAATCGACGTCGCATCGACCTCGCGGATGAATTTAAATTATCGATATTTTCTGTACGATATTTTGCTATTGTAACTGTCTATGTATTTGCATTGAATAAAGATGTTTTATAGAAGCTACCTGGAGGGACGAAGCATTAACGAGTAATTAGCATAGTACATGTTACCAATGTGCGGAAACCGTCTCACGATTTTTATTTAAGATTTCCTGTAAATTAAATCAACTATAGCAAACCACCGTCGCATTTTACTTCCATGCTTGATGCATATTACACAAAGTTACAACGAGTACTTGTAACGAGAAGTAGATATAAAATTAACGCGTTTCACTATGGTAAGTCCCTTAAAATTTTATTTAATTGTATGTACTTGTGTATCAACTGTTTAGAGAATAAAATATATTAATTAATTATTCAAAGAACACCAAACATAATAATTAAGCAGTGTCTTACACTTACATCCATCCTTCGTAATTATTTTCAAACAATAGAATAAAAACTTTACAATTTTTATTCATAAAATGTACTTTAAGTATCGTTACAATTATATACACTCCCATAAGCCAATCTTCGATTTTCATCCACGAGCGTTCCAATTGTTTCTCCGCTTGAAATCATTTCCACCTTACTTACAAAACCCTGCGCCACGTTAAACGAAATATCCGCGAACGTAACACGACGGCAAGACCACCGTGATCGCCGCGTGGGATTCGAGATGACAGGTCGTCGTTTGTTGTCTGTGCAGAGCGACGAAATAAACGTACACGTGAGATCGATATTATATTTATATTTATAAAATTATTCATCATTAGAAAGCACATATGATCTATCTATATGACGTAATTCACTACGCACACACGCGTACAAGCGTGCCTACGAGCGCACGCACGCACAAAGAGAAAAAACACGCGGAGCCGCACGCACACACCGTGAAACCATTCGCACCGTTTTTTCTTCGCATACTTTCGCTTCACGCATACGTAAGCACACGCACACTAACACCCACGCACTTACCACACACTCCCATACATACATATACGCGCGCGGGCATACGTACGCGTGTACGTAAGCGCGCGCGCGTACACACACGCGTGCAAATTAGAGAGACGGGGGCGACAGCAGCAGCGCACGCGCGCCCTGTGGCACGCGCACGTATATCCGTGTGTGAACGGCGACGCGCGACAACAAACGAGTATACGTGTCTCTATGTATGCACGTGTACATATTCAGAGTACCTCACGAATGTGTTTTTACAGGTTCTTTTTACGCAATCTTTGTAACCGCTCGAATTGGAAGAAAGTGCGACAGAGATTTACAACACCACGCCTACACACGGCCCCGTCCCTTCCCCACCATCTCTCGTGCTCCAGGCCAGTGTTCGCATCACAGAAGATAATAGAATCGCCGTGTCGTCGCGTTCCTCGCGAGAAAATAGCCCTTTCGCTCTACATATACATATACATATATATATATATATATTTTTTTTTTCGCGTCATTTTATACTCACTCGTCATCCACCCCCGTGGTGCTATGTGGTCTGCTACCAAAATTCAAAACCCCGAATCTTATCTAAAACTACTACCCACGAGAACGTTTCGCGTCCCCCCCCCCCCCCACCCCCCCCGGCACAAAAAAAATTAATCGCTACTACGCGTCGTAAAATTCTAACTAAAAGAGAAGAAAAAAAAAAAATAGAAAAAAGATACATCGTTTCGTCGCAATAAAAAGGATCTATCCGGCGATATTTGCGAGACAACGATCTCTCTCGAGCCCCGGAGGCGTTCGATCCTTCGCGCCCCGACGGTTTCGAGCTTCGCGACGAAGGGTCGATAATAAATTCTATTCGTCGATTAATTCGTCCTGCGTAAAAAGTGACCAATAACGGGGGATAGCAACGAAAGTGGAGAAACATGAGAAACAACTAAAATAACAAGGTGGAACACCGGGAGCGAGAGAATTAAGTAAAAATCATCGTCATCGGGCGACGAGCGAATTCGGATAAAGAGGATCGCGGTGAAATGATGTCATTTCGAGAGATCTACGCCGGGGGACGCCCTTTCCGCGTTACGCGAAATAAAAAGGTAATGCTATCGAACGCGTTTCTCGTCGCGACGGTTGTTCGTATCTGTCGGCGTTTACTGTCGATCGACATAGTTATTAATATAATTGTTCGCGTTTACACCCCGTGTGGCAATTTCTTCCAACTTCCTCCGTCGTTCTTTTACTTTTATTATTTATTATTTTTTTTCGCGTTTTAATAATCGGTAAACATCCTGGAAAAATAAGACACTTGCGTGAGATTTCTTTCATATGCATGTTATATATACATATATACACACCATTCATTATTTTTTTTTTTTTTTTTTTTTTTTTTGTTGTATCGCGCGGCGTGTGTATATACATATAAACGTGATTAGAACTTTTATTTTTCATATTACATTTTCTTTCCCAACCGTAATTGTTTCATCTCTTTCGCTTTACACTTTTTTTTATAATTCATTTCGTTTGTTTGTTTGTCCGCGATTCGATCAATGTTAACAACAGATGTCATTTAGATGTAATTATTATTATTATTATTATTTATTTTTTTTAATCATTTTTAGTGTGCATCTCTAAGACCCAAAGGAGAATTACCGAGCTATGCAAAATAGAAGATTGATCTCCACTTTTTTTTTTTTATCCTCACACGTATACATATATAAATATACGTAAATTTATATACCGTTTATATATAAATAACCGGGCGAATCAGTTATATATAACGCGCTATATAAATCCCTATACATATATATGTATATATACATATACATTTATACAATATATATGTACATATATATGTATACAAAGGTACTCTTACTATTGAATAGAAATATGCATATTCCAAGTGTTCAATAATATCAATATCGATATAATAATAATAATTATAATAATAAAATAATATTATTAATAATAATAATCCTTAATATTACAATAATATAGTAATTGCAACAAGAATATTGGTAATAGTGATAATGATGATGTCAATAATAATAATATTATAATAATAATAATAATAATAAAATAATAATAATTATTACAATAATAATAATAATAATATTAATAATAATAATAATAGTTATAATCATATTAACAACAACAAGTATTCTTTGTCACATTTTGGTTGCAGATTCTTACAATCACAAATATATTATTCATAAATGTAATAGTCAAAAAGGATGTTAAATTAAGAGAATACGTGATAGTGCTCTATTTTGTTTTTTTTTTTTCTTTCCTTCAACGTCATCCTGTGTACAATAATTAAACCTATAAATAGTTCTATGTTCAACAGCCAGTGGTATAGTAAAGTATACCTTTGAGGTACCTACGTAGTTTCTTTCTTTCAGTGATACCAAATACAACACCGACGGGAGCCACGTGACGACCAATCCCCGACGATGGGGGGCTGACCCCAAGCGGGCCGTCAGTCTATCGTGTCGGTATTAATATTTATATATATATATATATTTATATATTTATATATTTATATATATTTATACTCGAATATCGTCCGAAGCTGGGATGCCCCGATAAAGGCTTTTCTTTCTTCCTTTTATATATATACTCTACTCTCATATATATATATATATATATATATCTATATATTATATATACATATATATAAAATAAGATAGAGCGTCGCCGCGCGCTATCGGGCCACGTGCCCCCCGCGCAACCGCCCCTTTTGTTATTAACCCCCCGCCAGCCGCCGGGCAACGTGGATACCGTTCTTTTTCATTATCAAAGGGACGAACGCAGGGAGTATAACATTTCTAGCAATGGCCACGTAAACAAATTTCAACGACGTTAAACGTCCGGTGCACCGTGTCCAAACAATCATTTCTCTTCTCTTTCTTTTCTAACGTCTAATCATAGTACGAACTTCATATCACGAACAGTATAAAATTAAAGCGAATCTTACTTATCTTCTTTCAGTATCTCGCCGTTGTTGCAACTCGAACAAAATTTAAAAGTAACGCGAACTCTCTAATATAAATTAAAATACAAAGCACCACGTTACACGCGATAAAACAATAAAATTTCTCGAACCTACATTCACCACAGCTAAAGTCTTAAAAATTGACGTTTATCCGAATACACTAATTGCACGGTGTTCCTGATCATCCTCCCACTGTCCTTTACGTAGACTCCGCGCCATAAACAAGATCAACGATTTTTCAACCAGATCGCCCGACGACTGGAGGGGGTTGAAACGACCACCCCTCGTTCCCCCATTGCGATCGATCCATCGACTCGGTTTTTCCACCGACGGATTTCCACGACCGTGCTATCGTTCACGCGGCTTCGAATCACCCTAAGGCTGTCGAACGACTCGCGTCTCGAGACGAGTTTACAGCCCTTTGGGACCGCGGTCAATTCCGACGCGGTCGAGTGTCTCGACGACGGCCGAACGGGGGAAGCGGAAACTTTTGGTCCTTCGAGTTCGTGCAAGATAAAAAGTCGATCTGTCGGTCGTCTCTCGTCGCGAATCCCCTATTTTCTTTTCCGTCCACGGTGTATCGAGCGTTTCTACATCTTTTTCAAGGGCACGAAAAAGGCCCCGTGTTGCGGCGTGAAGCCGCGGCGACCTGCGCAGCTTCTTTCTTTTTTTTTTTTTTCTTTTATCCTTCTTTTATCGCATTGTATTTGGTGATACGTATCTGAATACTGACTTCGTGTGTTGTAGCATTACATATAATACAATAGTATCCAATTACGTATAAGGGTGTAATATGCGGTGTGTGATCGATATTCGTTCTCGTTTCCAACGTTCAACCACGGCGCTCAAAACGTATTCCCCCCATTTTCAACCCCCGCAGGTTTCATCCTTTTATGTTCAAACGTATATTACATAGATCCCTTTACCGTGCAAGGCGTTGGCCTGCAGTCACTCGGACAACAGTTTCTGTAACAGCGACGACTGGTTCACCTTCGGATCACCTCGAGCCACTTCCTCCATAGAAGTCTGGAAAACGAGTTTCGTTCGGTCAACGAGGGTGCTGCTGGATGATCGAAGCAACGGTCGACAACCCCCTTTTAATCGAGGGCTGTCGAGGTGTCGAGACAGGTGGACAGGTGGTACGACGGTTAAAAACATCTCTTACGTGAATTTTTATTCGGTCTTTTAACCGACTTCGAAAAAGGAGGACTACTCAAGGAGGAGTTACTCAATACGATGTGTGTATATATTTTTTTAAATGTTTAACGAAAAGATGAAGCACGATGTTACTCAATTTGGGTGCAAGGGCTCGGGTTCAGCGAACAGGGGCTGCTTTACAACCCGAGCCACGTTTATGATTCGAATGTATCATTGCGACCAAGACAGCGAGCGTGGAATAATAATAGGTTGTTCCGAAAGTTTCTTTCGCGAGTTGCACTCAATTTATTTGATGTGGTCGTGTTTATCGAAATAGACAATCGAATTTCATAGATATTCATGTTGTAACAATAATGGAACAAAATGAATCATGCACAATTCAGTAATGTTATATAAAACAAACTATTGTGCATGTATTACTTATTAGTATAGCGAAAGAAACTTTTGGGACAACCTAATAGTTTCTTGTAGAATATATTGATTGTTGTTACTTCGCGTTGGGTACAATGTTATTCGCTGGCAATCGCTTCTGTGGCGAATATTGACGCAAGGAGTTTCGTTTCTATTTATCGAGATTTATTTTTAATATATATTTGAAAATAGTAGAATTTCTTCTATATTCCATACAAGCGTCTTGGTATCACTGGATAATATCCCGATCCGTCTTTTTCTAAATGTACGTTACCCACCGCGTTACTACACCTGCAACTGTCCCTCACCTGCGTTCAGATTACTCGCGCGGACCCCGAATTAGGGGACCGCGCATCGAAACTGATCGTGCTGGATGCGTGTGAGTACTCAAATTGCTTCGTGATTTGTTAACGAGAATTAGTCGGAACGCGATTAATACGAGCCTTGGTTATCTCGTTATCAAAAACAAACTTCTAAATTCGTCCAACGAATAATTGCAAATTTAATCGAGTTTGAATACTCACGATCAGTTTCTTTATTCGAGAAGCAAAAGAGAAAAAAAAAAAATAACAGAAAAATCTCGACGAATTCTCGATCGGGTCGATCGACGTCGTTCCGGTGGAGAAAAAAAAAAACGCTGCAGCGAAGGCAAACGCATGATCAAAACTCAAAAAAGAAAATCTTTACTGAAGCCACATGTTCGCTACACATCCAATGTTCCAATTGCACACCAAAGGCCGCTAATCTAGTGATGTTTAACTAAATACATAAATAAAAAAAAAAAAAAATAAAATAAAATAAAAAAGAGAGAAAGAGAATAGTTCACTTGGCAGTCGTGAATCGGCAACGGCAAGTCACGAACAAAGAAAGAGAATGGCAATTTCTTTTGATAATGTTTTTTTTTTTCTTTTTTCTATACAAGCAGTTACTTTGCAGAACGTTAAGAAGCTACGTTGAGAATCGCGGTGGCGTCGAAAGATCGCCAAAAGGCTTTGCGCCACAGCTGATGCAGGCATGGTCTTCCAACTATTATGCAAACAAGTGGACACTAATTGGCGGTTGTAAAGGTAACAACTGATCATTGAAGTTGCATGAAAATTATCATCGAGTCGAACCGTATCGATCCACGTCGGCAGAACTAAGTATCATTTGTAATTAGACAAAAAGTTTGCATTCGAGGTTCGTTTTAGAATTGTTCAGAGAACCTGGACAAATTTTGTTCGAAATTATATCGAGGAACAATTCGAAAAAATATAAATTTTAGGATTTTATTGGACGCAACTTTACTCGGAAATGATCGAAATATTTGAATCGATGGGTATGATTTATTTAAAGTTAATAAATATTTGAATGAATTGTTACTATTGCACGAATTTATTCATCTATTTGCCCAGGCCCGTGGGAAATTACCGCGAGAGTTCTGCCTCGTCCAACGAGTGCGGAGATGGGCAAAAATTTAGTCGAATAACGAACAACAAATGACTATTTATTAATGCAACGAAATTTTCATTTTTGTCTCTGATAAATAATCCGCGGATCTTTATGCATTTATAGGAAATACGAATGTGCAACAACCTAAGAAATGCAAACAAACAATATGCAACAATATAAAAAAAAAAAGTTGAAAGTAAAGTTCATGTTATAATGTATGCAGAATTAAATAAATTGCTATTTAGGTTCAATTTTTCTAGACACGTTCGCGAAGATTTGATTTCGCATAAAGATCCGCAGTCTACTAATAAACATTTAGTTCTACGAAATTACTTACTCGTTCTAAGAGTAATGAATAATATACCATCGGAAAATAATTTTGTATTCGTTATTCGAATCTTGCCCATCTCGAGAGAGCGATCAGCCTCGAGAAGAGATCGTGAGAGCGACGTGCTCGGATGTCTGTTTGGCTCACTGTGAAAAAGCATTACAATACTAAAAATGTAACGTTACACGATACAACAAAATGACAGTGTGATTAATAGTGATTACTTCGAATGAGCTGAAGCTTACGGCACCATCACCCTGCAGATAAAAAAAATAAATAAATAAAAGAAACAACGTGTCTTTCGCGAATAACGTGAACCGGCATGTTCTTCGTTTTGTCGGAATACGGTATCGTTGTAAAAGAAGCAAATCGTTTGTTTACTTGTTTAAAGATACAAATATAATATCCTGATAAGAGCTATACTACATGATCATTTCTCGACGAGATGAGAGACTATTTTGTTCGTTATCGATGTTGGGACGATGCTAATAAGTTTCTTATTATGCATGTATATATTCGTTAGTTTTAATGAATTGGAATACTTCATTGATTCACGTATGAAATAGTTCCGATTCAAATTTCCAATTATTAAATTTATCTTGTTCGTTTCCTTAACAGATAATAAATGAAAAATTGTCGATATTTAAAACTGACTCTCTTTTCCTATCGTTTCATTTTCCCACCTTCTTCGTTTACTAATTTCTCACGGTGCCCCTAATCGAATACTAAAACTACCCTGCTTCAACTAAAACCGCGATCGACTAACCGAAACTTTTCGATTGCTCTGGGGAAAAATAAAAATCTTGCGTTACGTTAGTTCTGCGCGCGAACACGACAATAAATGCGAGGTTACTTGCGGTTAATACAATCCGAACAAAATAGAAATTAGTTTTACGTGTAAAGATGACGACACCTAACGCGTTCTAAGACGAACTTTCTAAGCGATCGACTCCGAACAATCCGAGTCGAGTGATCGTTTCTGTCGGTGCATTAGTCGATCTGACAGAGTTAAACAAACAAAAAATTTATATCTGAGTCTTTGGCCTCTTCGAGTGTCACTGAGTGTAAAACTTGGAATAGTCTCGAGTCGAAGAATTTAAAAAAAAAAAAAAAAAAAAAAAATCAGGACGAGTTACCTTACTCTACAAAGACGAATAATTCGAAAGAGGGGAACCTACGAGTTTCGTTTTCAAAAACCTTTCTCGAACAGGTCAACGACGTACCGGGTCCCGTTTATTTTCTATTTAGATCTCGTATTTCAGTTCGCGATTATTTTACTTGTACCAAACAATGGAACAAACGGTGTCCCGCGCGACTGGAACAGACTGTACCGCGAAAACGATTAAAAATACGACAAAAGGAACGGCAAGACAGAATAAATGGTTTCCGATGCTCCATATTTCTACGTTTTTCATGCGTTCGAGTGCATATATCCAACTAGAATGGTTTCGGTTATACACCTTCCTGTTGTTACGTTCAATTTAACGAACTGATTTTATAAAAATCGTTTAGAGAGCCACTGGAAGCTGTCGCGGTTACCTTCGCGTTGATCGTAAAACGCTGTTTCTGATCAAAATAAACTATGCATCGGACACATGAAACTGCGAATGTTATACACCGGTATTATTAAATCAATTTATCGAATGTATCCACCGCGATAAAAATCGTAATGTATTCATAATGTATATTCGTAATTACAGTGTGAACTATATGCATTTATGATTTGCGATAATACAGAAAGCATAAATAACGTATACGTAATGTATGTTAAATATATTCCACAATTATTATTTCGTTTTGTACAAATGCACATGCATTTTCATTATACTTTTGATTATACTTTGATTCGCCATATGTTTATTAAACTAGTTAACATCATAAATGCATTAAATCCGCGGTCTATTCACGATGTATTCATCGCGAACGATATTAACGTAGAAAAGAGGAGCACCAAACGACTCTTCGAACACTCCTGGGTGAACCAAATAAGATTAACAGTAAAAATACCAAATTCCTTCTAATCTCCGCATCACCGTAACCCCGTACCTCGAACTACACAACGCTTCTAAAACACAGCAACAAGAAGGAAAGCCTGGAAAAAGGCGAACGTCGAATCGAAATCCTTCGATCGAGATCTATGTCCGAAGAAGAATAAACGAGAGAGAGAGAGAGAGAGAGAGAGAGAGAGAGAGAGAGAGAGAGAGAGTGAGAGAGTGAGAGAGAGAGAGAGAGAGAGAGAGAGAGAGAGAGAGAGAGAGAGAGAGAGAGAGTAAGAAAAAAAAAACTGTTCGCCTCGTAAAGTATACCGTCTCGGTGCAAATAAAAACCGATAGCAGCGATTTCGGATGCACATACACGTGTCGCACGTACGCCACAGGTAAACGTAGTAAATGTAATCGTAACGTCCAAGTGACACATGCAAAGAGAGCGCTAAATTACCCCCTACAAGTTTTACGCTCAGTGCGTACAGAGAGATAGAGAGAGAAAAAAAAATTATTTCATTAACATTTCGTGCACAAATAAGTTCTGAAGCCAAGCGAAGAAGGGAAGACATAGCATACAAAAATCAAATAAAAAAGGTAAAAAAAAAATATATATATATATATGTATGTATATATAGTTAAAGATAAATAAAATAACATAAAATAGAATAAAATAAATATAAAATAAAATAAGTAGATATGTATAAGTAATACGTAAATATATGTATATACGTAAAAGTAATTGTCGGAAGGGTCTTACCCTGGAGGACGAGGGGGCACTTCCGGCACTCCCAATGGCCCAGCTCTTGGCAGGGCCATCGCTAACCACAGCCTCACCTAGTTAGGACATTGTAACAGTAGGCGTTACCACCAGTCTTTATTGTAAATAATGCCTTTTCTTAGAGAGAAGCACGGGTAAGTGTGTCGCGACCTTTGTCCTACACGTAGGTAGCAGAAGGGTACGGTTTTCTCGCACGAAAATACGTAGGTAGCAACGACCGTGTCCCCGGACACTGCGACAACGCCGAATAGAAAGAGCGAGAAAATTAATCTAGCATCGAATTGTCATATTTTTGGACCGAACTGTACGTAATTGGATATTGGAAAAAAAAATATATAAACCGGTGACGCGAAGTCGATCGCGTTTTCTCGTTAATTTCGGTTCGATTGAATGTTAAAACTTTACACAAAGTCACGGAGCAAGCGGTAAAATTTTGTAAAATTGTCTTTGTCAAATTTCGATCGAGTGCATCGTTCCGATCCCGTATCGATCGTCCGTCGGCGAAGGTAAGTTTCATACGAATTGAAATTCCTGATGCAAGAGCAGTTCTGTTCCGAGTCGTACACTGCTTCGTTACGCGAAGCATGTAGTCGCAACGGTAACGAAAATTTAGAATACGTCTCGTACATTCGTAATCCGGAGCGTTACTTTTTCGCTCGCTTCGGCGAGATTCTCTTAATATTTTTGATTACGGTAACGAATTTCAAGATACAACGGTCATCGGAGAAACCAACAATTTGTAGTCTTTACAATTAACACCGAGCAAACTCTTGACATTCGTTACGTGAAAATTTTCCATCGAGATAAAGCGAAATTCTGTGCGATTTCTGGATATATCTCCTATAATACTTTTTCACAGCTTCCAGCATTTCACGCGTATGGAACGTTTGCGACGCGTAGGAATTGTACTGTGGTTCGCGAAAGTACTGACACAAAAATCCGACAATGCTATGCAGAGGAACATGAAATATTGTTAGTATCAAGGAAACCAATGAAAATTGTCAACGAGTAAAAGAATTTTATCATACATAGCGTTTCTGTTCTTAATGCGTATCTTTTCCAATCCCCAAACTCCCTCCCTCCCTCCCTCCTCTCCCCAGGTTTGTCTATAAAATTTATAATCATCGTTAAATCGTTGGATTTTAAGAAAAAACAAAACACTATTATGCGCATACAGGATGCAGCGGTGACTACGAAAGAAATGCGTAGGGTTAATCCTCGCGCGAAAGTAAGTCGAGATCGCGAAATAACCTTTTCAAGCTTTCGTTAACCTTGTTTCTCGGCTTGGTTTTAAAACTATTCTAAAGGTAATTCCTGTCCAGAGTATATATCCATCCAAAGAATTTTGAGAAACGCTTTGTCTCGAAGAACCAAGCCTCGAACGAACAAAACTTATTTCACAATTTCGACAAAAATTTCGCGCGAGAAATTGACCCTGTAAACGTTCACATCGCGACGTCACCGCTCCAACGTGCACAGAAATCATTTTATTTGTACAACCACTTCGACTGCCCCCTAGACCGACGCGTGAGCTTCGAAAGAGAAACCGAAGGTGAATCTCTTTTCCCGAACGACGTACCTGCCGAAGACATTTCGAAGGTAAGACCGAGCGCGTCGAGATCGTCCTGAGAAACTTGACCAGAGAGGTTGTTCTGTATGTTGTTGGGTACCCTTTGTTGCTGCTGTTGCTGCGTTCGCGCGCCAACGATCGCTCTCAATTCCTGCCTGACGAACTCCGACGTGCTGCTAGCGTTCCCTGTGACAAACCAAAACGATTACGTTAGTACCTGTTCGAACAGAATAGGGATTATCGCGTTCGTCACGGCGACGAATCGCTGACCAACGATCGACACGTTCGTTGCTATTTCGATCGTCTCTTACGCGCCAAGCCGTAACGTAAGTTAGTCAAAGGTACAGGATGAATGCTTTATTACAAAATGCGGTATTTACAATATTGCATTAACATAGTTCGCAACGACTTATCCTGTAACAAACAATATTCGTGTTCTGGCCCGTCCGTGTTGCGAGGATTTATGATCTTTCAAGCACGATGAATTTCTTGGTGAAGAGACAGAGTTAAGAAGAATTATATAAATAAAAAAAAAAAAAAAAAAAAAAAAAAACATAAATAAAACGCTACCGTGAGACGAAGCATCGGATCCGTTCACCGGGGAACACTATGTAAGCGTAGATTACATAAAAAACAGAGGTCCGATAAACATTAAGTGTAGACTGCGTTCGACGATGTTTAATAACACTGCGTTTAGTGACAATGATTAACCACAAAAGCTCGATGCACTGTACATGAAAATGCGTCGTTGTTAGTAGACCATCTCGTTTCTTTTTTGTTTTTTCTTTTGTTTCCGTTACTCGAGGTTCGGAAAAATCATGGATTTACACGGTGACCTACTTAATTTTACGGATGAACACCGACACGACGATTGGAGAACGGTTAACGTGTCTCAACTTTTATCTTACGTAACTTTACGTAAAGGTTCTCGCGGATTATTTAGAAACTTGGATCCGATCCGTTCGAGTTCTTTTTATCTGTTTCTTCTCGACGTCCGCGTTGATCGTGCTCCAATCGTAAAGTATCGTCAACCGGAGAGCTCGCAGAAACGTAAAAATAATTCGTACGGGTGGACAATGATTGCGAGCTGGTCGAAGATTAATAAGGGAACACAACATTAAAAAAAGAAAAACACACACACAACGAGATTGCGTGGAGACAACAAGCATAAAGAAAAAAAAAAAAAAATTAAACGTAAATCGAGTAAAACAAAGCGCGAGAGAAATGAAGAGTACACGCCGAGTTCTCGAAGCCAACGTAAATTATAATGATAAAACGGATACAAATTGTATACTTCGAATTCGTTTAAAATACAAATCGTACTATTTTTGTATTCGATAAAGAACGTTCTTTAAATCAAGTTTCGTTGCTTTCACTTTCAAAGCCATTTCCATAAACGAAATAAAAATGAAACGTGATCGAAACATAACTCGATTCGAGAATTTCATGAAAGAAAATGAAAATTTACGCTCGACTTTCGACGGAATATATCGTACACCCGACAAAGCAGAACTTTTGGGGGCATGGATGGAAAAAGAAAATAAAACACATAGTTCAACACGTAAGTTCTACGAATGACGTAATGACTAAAATGATGTTGACGTTGGTGCGAACGGTTCGCCAGAATCGTTGCTGCTAAGTCACGAATTGTTACACATCGATACAAGAAATTCCGTCTTACGATATCGAGGCAGCGATGCGTATTAGTATTAACACAGATTCCACATGTGGTGCAAGTGACAGTGACGCTAATTTACGTGTTCCGGGTGTGCCGGAGATAGTCACTAAACAGTGCGTACATGATCCGAACCGGAAATGGGCAAATTACCATCGAAACGTGCGATACTTAACGATCACTCCTTCCTACGCTACGCTTCTTACTGCATGGTTGCATAAATAGCCCGTGTCGTCAACGTTATCGCGTATTCTTGTACGAAAAAGAAAGTATATAATTTAAAAAAAAAAAAAAAACAAAACAAAACGTATCAACAACGGTGCAAGGTTTGAAGCTAGTATCTCGAGTCATTTACGTTTTATACAATTCCAAATGTGCCGTTAAGTCTACTGGAATCCCGAGACCAACACCTTAATCGTTAACTGTCGCGAGTCGGCTAGCTCGCGACACTTAACGAGCCGAGTCGTTTATCTTTCTGATTCTACCACGTTTTTGAAACCCAGTCTGTAACGTACGAATACGATTGCCTTAATTCGCCTTTAAAATTCCCGATACCACGTTTAATTTCGACAAATATAGTATCACGATCTGTACTCAAAGTATCCTGGCACGTTCGATTCGAGGCCAGTTTTTTGCCTGCTTCCGTTTCCATTCCACCTTAAACAGTACGGTGATCTTAACGCATACGTATCACAAGAAAGGTACCTAAAAAAAAAAAAAAGATATGGTACAAAGGACAGTCTCTCCTACGTGACTTATCTACTATGCTGATTACATAAGTACATCGGTGTCTACAATCACCGTAGGGAAAGTGTGGTCTCTCTATCGCTAAAAAGAAGTAGGGTGCAATCGAACATCACATTTGCATCGCTGGAATTAGTGTGCGATAGGTGTACATCACGTAGATGGCGATGAGGCTGTATTATATGTTACATCACAGTACGTAGGAAACACAGGCGATCGATTTCTTTCGGAGAGGGCGTATTATTTCATTTTATTTCTTTCTTCTCTAACGCGATTGCAAAATGCAGACCTTCTTCGACGCTCCTTCGTTCGAGCAAACGACGACCAAACGGGACGAAACCTTTGCTGTTTCCTGCGTTCGACGAAGGTCTGACATTTTGCCTCGTTAGGGAGACTCGTATGAACTGTTATTCACAAAATGATAAGGACCGTTCGTGGACCGTGAAACTTGTCGGAGTTAATTTACAGTCGACGACGAGTTCTGTTTTCCTTCTTTGTTTTCGTTTGTACGTGTTTAAAAGATCTGAATACTCCAGTCGCGCGAACAAGCAATCGAAACGGCACCGTAGAACGGCTTCTTGCTTCTCTATTATTGAACAGTGCTCGGAGAAGTGGTAGGGGGAATAGGACGTGTTGCCAAGTGAATACATACAAGTGAATACATAAAATAGAATGCAACGTTCTGTAACGGGGGAATGGAGTCATTCGAGTAGAACAGGCGATACCTTGCTCTTGCTTGAAGATAAAAAAAAAAAAATATATATATATATATATATAAAAAGAAATGCATCGTTACGATAAGATGCCCCTTTCCAAAGAAACAGCGTTGCTTAATTATTTGAAAAAGGTTCTTCAAAGTACCGCGATGCAAGTTTACTTTCTCTAGATTCGAATCTCCCAGCCTGTTAACCTTAGGAAGACTTCTGGGATTCTACCTACGACTTTGCTTAATTTGATTACAATAATCTGATTATTTTAAGCACACGAGTCCCAAGCGGCTACAGAATTTACACTGTACAGAAGTCTTCCTGGAGTTGAAATAATTATCTTTCTTCTATCCTCAACCAAGGAGGACCGACCATCTTGATTCTCTGCAACGGATTCAACAAATCTTTTAAACGAAAGCATAGAAGAGAAAAATGGCGGAACGGAGTGTCTCGAATCGCATACTCGTACTACAGTGTGAAGAAATACATTCCAACGAGTACGGTTACGACGCTAGCCGGAATTTGTAACTATAAACAAAAGCATCATGCAACAATTAGCGCTATTTCGACAGGGTACGATACTCTGCGTCGACTTCTCTTCGGGTGCGTGAAAATGACGATCGGAGAAAACGGACGTGAGAGTTATGACGATGATGGGTCTTTGGTTTCGACTCGAAACCCGAGGCTCGGATTTAACGATGATGCCTGCGATTAAGGTCGCGGGACTTTGAAAGAATGAAGAAGATTAAGGATGTATTGTTTGTCTAAGGGTTCGAAGAAGCTGTGTGCTTTCTTCGATTCTGATAGTTTAATTACCTGGCAGAGGTAACGCGCCACCGATGAGAAGAGAAAGAGAGAGAAAGATATTTGCAAAACACGCAACCGATTGCCCCAAAACATAGCGTAAGAGATGCGAAGGAGATACTTGCACGGACGTAATGGTTATAGGTACACTGAACGCATGACATCGACCCGCTGCTATCGAGAGGATCATCGTATTTACACTGCTCGGGGATTTGTACAACGATTGAGGGGGTTGTGTTTGGTGAGAGAATGATGTGCTTCCGCGTACCAAAGAACGTCTCATGCCTTTGCATCGTTTAATGATACGAGGTTTTTAAGATAAGAGGTCACGGACAAGGTACGAGGGGTGGTGGGTGTAATGATGACGAAGTGATGGTCACATGACATTAAATGGTCACATGACTTACCACCCATTTGGTGATTGACAGGATTACCAGGAGGCAGAGGCCTGGCGTCCTGCGTGTCCCCAGGCCCTGACGAATAGAGTGGAACAGACGTCCGATCGTAACAGAACTGATTGTTCTGCATGTCAGCTGTGTTGATAGTATTGGCGGTCGTGTGGTATATCATAGAAGAATGTTGTTGGTTGGAGAAGTGTTGTTGGGTATTCGTTACGTTGTGTTGATTGTGAGTCGGCGTTGCAGGGCAACCCGAATGTGGATGACTAGGTGAAAGAAGAGGTTGTTCCTTACTCACTCCGCCGTAGTGCCGGGGCGAACCGAGCCCACCTGCAACATCAATCGTGTCTATCTCCTTGTTCCTCGCTTCTTAGAAAACATTTAACGCTCCTAGCAGCTTCCGTCCATGCTTCGAGCTGTCAAGTCATCGACAGCCCTGCAGTCGCATTGAAATTAATAATGCATTTAACATTAAAATGCCTAACAACGGCGGCTCCAACCGTTCGGTGGGTAGATCTCGCGTTAAAGCAGGATTCTAGATGATTCGTTTGGATGAAAAATCAATTGATCATCCAGCAAACCAGAATTCTGCTTTAAACGGGCACACGCGCATACACAGATAAAATATTTGCCTTGGAAATAATCGAACGTACTTTCTCTTAAAGTGAAAGAAATATTCTAATTGTTAGTTGAAGTAATGTTATAGAAAGTGGATCATTGACTCTAACCGAATGTAACGATCGAATATCTAATATAGTGATACTAACGTTTATATTCGTATACTAATCAACGATAACGAAGAAATGTATCTACGATGTCACACGTACGTAATAGTTCTTTCTTGTTCTTAAGAAGCCTGCGGTATGATATTCAACAAAAATTATTTCATTGTATGGTCACGACAAAAGGAAAGCGCAGGCATAAAACACGTCTAACGATATCTATATGCAAGTTCGTCTAATCTAAACGTATTTTTACTGTTCTCGGACATCGAATAGAATAGAAATAAATATTTTAATCGGTTGTGTACTTACCTATTGCGAACAAATTTTTTATTTCGTTTCTTTAATCACATATCTTCCAATCGCGAGTATCTTTAATGACGCCCGAAATGACGGCACGATCACCATCCTCGAATTCTTCAACGTTTCGCACAAAATATCGAACTCGTCGTTACAGAACGATATAGCTCGGCCCTATCGCGCGTTCAAGGTCGCCTACGATTCGAATGTTCGATCTGCATTGATCCGCGATCTAACACGTGCTACACGATTGTGCACGTTACATAATATATTCGTCGCGTAATATTACATAGAATCGACGCGGAATAAATACACCGCAACGCGACGACTACGGAGCAGCGTTTCCCAAACTGTATTCGGTGAAAAATCATGATTAAATTAATGTTTAAATCGTTCGAATGCCGAAGTAAAAGAATTTGGGAAACGCTGGTGGTAAAGTATTCATTTTCTCGGCGTAGATTTTCGCGATACGACAACGAGACAGAGGGCACTTACGAGCATAAAGTCAACGTACCTGGCAACTGAGTCGTGGCTGAAGGCGTAGACGTGGTCCGTTGCAACCGATACTGGGCAGAAGGATTGGGTGCGCCAGGATTAGGACCAGGTGGAAATTGGCTAGCTGTGGGGGACGTAGGTGGGGGAAAGGTTTCCGCCGGAAACGGTGACTGCCGGGCAGACGCTGGCGTTCCTGGCGATGGCATCGATCTCTGCTGCTGCTGTAATTGTTGCTGCGCGGTGGGCTGTTGTTGCGATCTCACCTGGTTAACGTTGAACAGTCTCGGGGTATTACCATAGTTGCCCTTATAATAAAAAAAAAAAAAAATAAAAAAAATAAAAAAATATGAAAAAAATCACGCATTCGCATTAACAGATATAAATAATAGTGTAAATTATGTCCGCGACGTTAACCCTTTCGCTCGTCATTTTTTAAACAGTTTGACAACAGCTATTGGTTAAGCTACATTTGGCCATAGTAATTTATAAGCCAACATGGGTCACCACGGGCGAAAAGGTTAAAGAAGAAATACACGGTACTCCGAGAGCCACCGGTGCACCCTTCTGGTTGATTGAACGAAAGTAAAGCTTAAAAATAAAAATGAAACTACGCGACAGGCATTTAGGACACCTTGTATAATTAAACGTCTCTTGAAACGTACTTGCGTCACTCGTGGCGACAGCGGCTGCGGATGAGAGAACGACAAAATACCAGCGGGAGAATGCGGCGAGAGTCGCGCTGCGGCAGACACTTGTTGACCACTGTTGAAATTATTGTTTACAATGGGGCTAGAAATAAAAGCGCCGGCGTTACGTAACTGCCCGTGGGCAATTAATAGCGCTAGTTCGAATTGCTTACTGTTGTGGTAACGTTGACGGATGGGAGTACGAGTGAGCGAGTCGGTGACCGGAAGGCATCTGGACGGATCCCCCATAACCTGGAGAAACTTGTGAATCTGGGACACTCGACCGCTGAAACGGGGGAACTTGTTAATATTAAACCTTTTCGAACGGCACAACGCAACGACAAAACTATCGGTTGTACGACTTACCTGTAACGACACATTTGGAGCAACGGTGTTGTTGAGAAGATTATCGATATTATGAATGCCGGTTGTAATTTGGTCCGTAGCTGTAGCGTTGGAAGGAATGAGTAATTGCTGCTGCTGCTGTTGCTGCAGCAGCCTCTGTTTTAATTGTTGTTGTTGCTGTTGCTGTATCAATTTCGTCCGTTGCTGTTGGAGCTGTATTTGCTGCTGCTGCGTGAACTGAGTGGTGGCCTGCCGGACGCCCGGTTGCGCGTTAAACCTCATCCTAGGCTGTTGCTGGTACATGGGTGGAGGCTGGTAACTATGGCTCGTCGTTACAGGTGTAGTTCCCAACTGAAATCGCATAGGTCGTAAATATTAATTAGACGAACAAGTAGCGCCGCGCGAGGCACGTACGGCGGTAACAGTCGTAGACTGCTAACGGGACTAGTGTACCGCGATTGTTGCGCCGTCGTTATAAGAAAGTGTTGAAAGGCGTTAACTTACCGCGGTAGAATAAGCTGGAGGCGTGCCAGGAATTGTTATGGTGGAAGACGTTGGATTTACGGCAGTCTCGCACAACATCAACGACTTCTGTATCGCGTTAATCGCCATTTTCTCGTTCATGACATTGTTCTGTGGTGCTTCAATTACGTCTAGGAGATTTGCTATCGCAGACGACTCTATTGAATAAAAATTATTGTGTCCATGACGATACTACTTTCGCTGTCACGGGTAATAGATCTTTACTCGTTCCACGAATGTGTTAACTTATTACTCACAAATGTCTCGGAAAGCTTTGTTAGAGAAAGTAACAATCGCGGGCTTTACGATTATGCTGTGACAGCGAAAGTACAAAGCTACAGTCTTAAAGCGTATTTATTAGGGAGTAATTGCAAGATAAACACATGTCAGGAATCGATTATTGTACGTAAACGTTAATCGTGATACCTGTGATAGCCTCGTCCGGCACGAATTCGATCACTTGATCCAAAATGTCCGAAAGGTCAGGATCCGACGACTGGTTGTCCCAACTACTGGGATCGGTACTCGTTTGATGATACTCCCCGCTGCTTGTGAATTCCGAATCCATCTGACCCATCTGGGGCCTTTGTTGCTGTAAACACGAAACAATTGTAAATCAATTTTTCTGTCGCCTCAGAATATGTACTTTGGCTACCGAAGAACTTACATGACTTAGCATATGACTGAGGTAGGTATTGGTTGTTTGACGAGGTAGTTGTCTCGACTGACTTTGGAGAGGAGTACGCGCGGAAGTTGCCGTTGTCGTAATCGTGTTGTTACCACCAACGGATTGCATGCTGCCACCCGTCCAGGGTTGCTGTTGCTGCTGCTGCTGCTGCTGCTGTTGTTGTTGCTGCTGCTGCTGTTGAGACTGTTGCTGCTGCGATTGTTGCTGCGACTTGAACCCTATGCGGAGCAGCTTATCCTGTGTAACAGACAGAGACAAAGAATTATTCCACGTTGCGAATTTTCAAGACAACTGGTAACAAAGCGTAACCACGCGATTAGGTTACCTGTGGCGTTGCCGATATCACAGACGCAGGTACTGGTGGGATAGTAGTGGGCTGGGGCGGCTGTTTAGCTAACAACGAAGCCAGCATTTTGTTCTTCTCCCAGAGCTTGCTCGTCGCATTGGTGGATGTACCGGAGGAGGAGACTTGATGCGAACCGTCCATGGTCCGTTTCACAGCTATGTTCAAATCGCCGTCCTCGCCCGGTCTCTTTTGCCCGACCTGAGTTGATCCACCGTGTCCAACGTTCTCGCCCGACTGGGAGGGAGACGGCGTGGTGTTCCGAAATCCAAGACTCCGCAAGAGAGGATCTTCTTCTCGAGACTGTGACTTGCGCTGTTCACAAAATTTTATTATAAATACCTCCATGAATAAATATCTCTTCGTTAAAGAGAATCGTTGCATCAATGATCGCTTACCTGTTGCTCTTGTACTTTCCTCTCGTCGTTTTGGTCTTTCAAAAGCTGTTGCAGGAGTTCGTTCCTCTTCTTCAAACCAGCGCGCGCCTCTTCGTCTTCGTCGTCGTTTTTCTCGTTCAATAACTTTAAACAACGAAGGAGGAAATTAGTACACCGCCGGGTGACGCGCTCGTGGTCGCAACACTACTCCGGGATGGAAATTGCAAACAGCCATTCACTTTCGAAGCTCGATTGCAAACTTTACAATAAGATTTCCAAAGGTACCGCGGATGAAAGTCAAGTTGTAAAGAATATTTCGGCTGGTCGCATTCTCTTCAGATGCGGGCGGGAAGGGATGATGGGAAAGGGGTTGAAGCTGTTGGAATAAATTGAACCAGGGTTTCTCAAACACTTTGTTGTATCAACTTGGATGTAGCATTCGCTATATACTTCAACACGTTGATCGCCCATGACAGTGCTTTTCACTCAAGACAAAATTCATTCTGTACTTTAAGTATCAAGGACAGTAAATTTGAATGAAATTCATAAACTTCGATGAAGTTATGCAAACAAATAATACATAAATGTTTGATCATGCAGTTTCCAATAGTCTGAAAAGAAAACTTAACGGTATTAGTCTGGCAGTCAACGTGCGAATGGGTTCTAGAGTACCTTACCTGCTCGAGGAGAAACACTAGAGGTACTCTATCCTAGGTTACCTAGAGAGGTTAATCTAATTCCACCGTAAAGAGTCCACGAAACGTGGAGGTTTGAGAAAGCCTGTGTCAACCTGGCCATGGTACCGGTCCGGTACCGTGTGTGCATGCGGTAAAGATCAGCGCGTTTACCTGCAACAGCATGTTATTTTCACGCGTAGATTTCGAATGCTCCATGCTCGGTTTGGGCATGTTGCTAGGACTCGTTCGCACTTTATTGTTATGCTCCGGGTGAAAATCGTCCTCGTCTTGCTGGTTCAACAAGATCTTTAATATCCTATGTTTATTCTGGCTCTCGGTATCGTTATTCGTATTGTCCTGACTGTCCTCACTAGCACTAGCCCCCTTGGTCAACAAGTTTCTGAGCCTGCCGGACTCGGTGGACACAACACTGTTCTGAGTCTCGACAACGTTCGCCGTGGACGGGCCGGTCTTGCCCGTCCCGGGGTTGCCGGGCACGTTGGCCGCGTTGTTTCTCCCGTTGTTCGGATCCATCGGCGACTGGTTGGCGGCGGGGCATCCGGTCTTCCCTTCGTCCTGTCGTTTGGGCGTCAAACCGGCGGCACCGTTCGCGCTAACGCTACTTGCGGCGCTGTTCGTCAAGGAGGACGTCTGTGATTCCTGAAGCGGACTGAAGGGGAACGAATTACTGAAGGTGTGAGCCGCGTTGCCTGAGGTCGGGCTGAACGCGCGCATGGGACTGCAGTGAGGCGCCACCGCCGAATTAGAGGAGTACGTTCCCTGGGGACTCGGAGATGCCGGGGCTGGCTGGGAAGGTGGTCGTGAGTTTGGTGGCCCGCTCGCTCTCGACTCGGGCCTATCTGCCCACCCGCTGCTACTATCCAAGTCCCATGTGGAACTGGGGAAGAGCTCGAATTCCAAGTCCATGTTCCCCGAAAAGTGGTTGAACGGATTACTGGTACTTAGCGACGGCAGGGGGTTGCAAGACTCGGCCGCGCTAAATACTATCGAGTTCGACGACGACGAGGTAGCCGCGGCACCGTGTGACGACGTGCCCGCCAACCCCCGGCCACTGATACCGCCCACTTGACCGTTCAGATGTGCCACGGGCATCAGCGGGCCACCCACGTTATTCTTATTGTTACCATTATTATTATTACTATTATTCGCACAACGGTTACTAGAGTGTCCTGAGCACACTTTGTTGTTGGAAAGCTGACCACCCTCGATAGGCGTTAAGTCATTGTCCCTATCATGGACAAGAAACAAAACAACACATGTAGTTGCCAGTTACTATTAAACACTTATTTTTTTTTTGTTTTTTTTTTTTTTGTCAGTTTTAGTTTAAACACTAAGCATCGATAGGTATCGGGTCGTTTCCGTGCGATCCTTGCGTATCCTTCCATGACTTATACTAGAGGAAACATCGTTGGGACGTCCAGCCTTCCTTCGGTAATCGCCGTATTTGCTTTACCGATAACGCTCCCAGACGGTTATCTCCCAAAAGCGTTACGCATCTTTCTTACGTTCTATTCCAAAGTCTAAGGTACGGACAAAGCATTGCTCGGTCGGTGACTAAGGGCTACGGTCATCCCTGCTTCGGGTACACGCGAAATTAGGTAGAGTAGTTCCTATCTACGCATCGATGAATCGGTGACAGCCACTGAAGGGTCGCGTAAGCACGTGCTCCATCCGAAACGCGATTACTTCTCTTTATAGAAGATAATTGGAAAGGTCTACTTATTCTACGATTTCTATGTTACCAGCACCTAGAGATGCTTTCTTAACAGTTTATTTACCGATATTTATAGGCTTTTTAATTGCAGTAGTTAGCTATTCGAATTTATTTACTGTATCGACGGTTGTCTACTTACAATGGATCAGTGTTTGGAAACAGACTAGGCTTTCGATGTACACAGTAACGGTATGGAGGAATTGTTGTCAGGCCAGATTGGCATATGTTACTGTAGAAAATTCTTTTCTTAATTAAAAACTGTTTCTAAATAGCTCGGTAGATGAAGCGTTAACATTCTATTGCCATGAGTTCTAACCTATCGAGATTTGAGAACAAGGTCACCTTTAACTGACCGATGATCATTTTATTGACGCTTAGGTCTTCAAAGAAATTAAACCTAAAGAAACATTAGGTATTGCGGATACGTAATGATATATCACTTATTATTGTCTGAGAGAAATGAAAGGACGTACCCCTATCTACAGTCACTCCCATAAATATTCTTTCCCTCTATGTCTATTGAAGAAGTTTGACTAAATAAAATAATAGTTTCGATATTACCAAATGAATTTTTCATTATAAATACGTATACGAATAAGTGTATACGTGCATATATATTTATATACACATCAACATATTTGTACAAACATACGCATTTAGAAACATCAAACCTACCATTCAATCTAAAGAAATTTATTCAATATACACAGATGGGACGCATATCTACGGGACTGTATACCTCATAATTCTTGGTAAGCTACTTCTCACTTTCTAAAATACGATAATCTTCTAAAATAAAGATAATCTTCAAACTACATTACTCGAATCCTCTTCGACAGACGCAAATCTGCGTAAAGACTGAATAGAGAGTCTGAATGGACGTCCACTGGTTTGTTTTAGCTCTGTTCCGCGTACGTTCGCATAAAGATCTCGTAGTTAAATACGCAAGGACCGGTGAAACGACCTAACACTATTTCTAGTTGCTATGCATCCCGGTGAACAGTGCTGGCGGCGTTGTGCTTCGTCATTTCTCCAGATAACGCGATCGCAATGAGTAACTTCGGTGAAGAAAACAAAAGGCAATCGGACGATTCGAGTCGGCGAAAAATGCTCGACAGTCCGAGGCGGAAGCAGAGAGACGTTCTCGATATTCCCGCGCACTGTTCACCGAGAGGGAAACCTCGAGCAGTCAATCGAGCCACCTTGATACCCTGATGCAAGTTGCACAAGCGCGAGTAAGACTTACGCGATGGTAGATCGTACTTTCGCTTAAGTACTCGCAGCTTTAACGTTGTACGCAACCCCGATGACGCGGATACCTCCCAGCTGAGCGCAACACGCTTTGGCGATTTTATACACGCCAGGCGAAGCTACTCTCGCGGAAATTCAACCCTTTGCTCTGCCTAAAACTTATAAGTGCTTCCTATTGGGTCGTCACATACGTTCGTGCCACTTATTCTTCTGCTACTCGGATTCATATATGAAACTTAGGTGTTCCACGAGAAGGTAATGACATAGTCATTATACTGTCGCTATAAAATTTCTGTAGCTTTTTTTTATTAAATACCGGCTGCGGCACGAACTTATGGGACGCCCTAATATTTAAGTATGTCTCATCGTAACTTTCAAAGCGTCAATTGAAGTGCAAAGGGTTGAATACATCTGATTTACTTTTACGTTAGTCACAGTTTTGTATAGACGCCACAGCAGGCGATTAAAAAATGAATTGAAAGTTTAGAGTCTCCCTTCTAATTTATTCCTCCGTGGCTCGACTTCTCGAAGAAACGAATCTACGCGGTCGCTTTGCGATCACCTTTTGCATCGTACACGTCTCTAAACGTCAGGAAATTCGTAAATCAGGATTGAAAATGGCAAGGATCGTGCCACCGATCAGCGAAATCGAACGTTCGATAGCTGGTGCAGCAGCGCTCGCAACCTTTGCCATTTCCACTTCGGTAACGGTATACACCGTCGCTCAAAAGTTAGGTGTCGCCTGCGAGCTGTTCGCGAAACGCATTTTATCGAGAGGAAATTTTGTCAACAATTATTCGACTCGGCGAAGACGAAACGAAAAGAAGATCGCCAAGATTTTTCCGATAGCCGTACAATTGAAAGCATTGCTTCTCGTTCGACCCTCGGATAATAAAATTAAAATAAAAGAAAAATAAAATTGTATCGCAAGTTTATTGTTATTTATTCTGTTAGTAATCGCATAGAGAAATATCGAGACACGTGGTTTTAAACGACGCGACGGTCGATTCCCGACTTTTGAGCGACGGTTACGAAGTGCGTGGTGCGGAAACAAACGCTGCGAAAAATTGTGTGGCGAGGCACGATCAAACGCAGCGTGCGATACGTAGTGATGCGTTAGCATTCGAAGCATTAGAAGAAGCGATATAAACGAGTAGACAGAGATGAGCGTAAACTGTTTCAAATCGGAATTCAAATAGAAACGTTCAACGAACGAGGACGACTCTGATTGTTTTAAAAAGTAGTACAGTAAAGTCTCGATAAATATAGAAAATTCTCTACGATAAATGCACAGAAACCATCCCCTTTTGGGATTTTGCCGACGAACTTGGAACGCAGAAAAGAAATAAAGAAGAACGCGATAAGAAGTAACGAATAAAGAGGACGGAGACATTCGCTGTTTTTCTCTACGTTCGAAGCTCATCGGTAAACATCAGAGAATGCACCAAGTCTACGATAACTGCACACATTCAGTCCCGAGTTTATCCACTTATGGAGACTTCGCTGTAACTGGTCATTTTTAATAAAGTAATAATTCTTTAATCTTCTATCCGTAAATTCCGCCCATCTCTGCGAATAGACGCGTCCTGAGTTCGTGATCGCGTCGACATCGCAGGCAAGGGGTGTGGGAAATTGTTTCAGTTTCAAGAGTGGCCAGATCTCCAACACCGAGAGGAAAACCCGTGTCGCATGCATGGGCGTTTCGAAAAACCTAAACAAAACGAGAAAACAGCCCGAACGACCGAGACCGTGTTCAACCAATTGGTACCACGAAATCGAAATCAACGATTCGAATCGCTTTCACCGTTTTTTTATCATCGATTCGACGTAATTCTCTTTCGTGATTCTTTCCGAGTACGTGCACGATAGAATTTCTCGTTGTCTTTCGAGTTAGACGGTTCTTGAAGCAGCAGCAGCAATATGAGGCGAAACGCGGAGAAAATTAGGAGAACAGAATACGTTAGACCGGAAACCCAACGCGGCGAGAGAGATTCGTAAATGGAATGCCGTGTAGATATAGTCACCCTTGCCTATGTATTCCAATGGAAGAGTAATTAAGCAATACGGAGGATATATTAACTTAATTACCCGGCAGAACGACGATTATTATCAAGGCGCTAACGATGGGAACAATTGAATACCGAAATTCAGATTCGTCAATTGTCGACTAATTTTCAGCGGCTCGGCTGCGATACACGCGCCGCTGCTTTCATTGCACTGGCAATAATCGAGGTTCTGCTATCCAGTTCCTACCGTCCTGTCGTAATCCTAATGTTAATTTACGTTTACCTAATTATTACCTAATGTCCACCCACTGACCACCGCGGCACTTCAAATCGCATAATAAATCATCAAAGTGTCCATGTAAGATTCTTAAAATATACGAAACTGATTGATTCGTTGTATCGAGTTGATTATTATTGGCTCGGTGTTTCGCGCTTTGGTGGTCGGTGTGTCGACGCGTTCGAGCCTCGGTTTAATCGTCGTTCGGAGGATCTCTAAATGGAAAGAGAACGTTTAGAAAATATTCGAGACGATTAGTTCAAGGCGGAACGGAGCCTCGAAGAGCAACGAGTTACACATCTACGAGATATACGGATCGTAAGAACCGTAGGCTGCTCGACTTACCCGATGATAGAGTTGGTGGCCATAATGAAGTCGGTATCGTGTGTATTCATCACATTTGCTTTGAAAAGTTTTGACTTTGTTTGAATGTTAAGGAACTTATCAGGACTAACGCGTAGCCGGTACACGCCGCTGGTACTCTGACCGACTTGAAGCGTATCGTTCAAATGTGCAGTTAGCTTACTGAGATCAAGAGGGTGGCACAAGTCTTTTATTGTAGTGCCAATCAGGTCCTGCAACAGAATACAAACAAAAACGGTTCGTGTCAGTTGTTTGTTAGACGTGATATTTCAAAGATTTTACTTCAACCCCCGAAGAACGAGAGTCGAAGAGAGTCGGACTTGGAACAGTCGGAGAATCGAAAATACCTCTTCGATAATTACATCGAATTTACATATTCCCTCTCATTCTGGCGAGCTAGTTCGACACCGTAACCGCTGGGCACAGAGGCTCTTAGCATGCCGCTTAATTATGCAAACCGGCGTGCGCCTTTCGTTCGATAGCTACTTGGTGGTCACAAATATGAATATCATCAGTCACGCGCAAACATCGAAAATAACAGGCAAACCGCCGAACACGTAGAGTCGAGTCATTCATCTGGAGGGGGCTTCGGAGAGATTCGGATCGATTACGATCCTTCTGGACCGCTGGTCTAGTCAGCTGAGCTATCTGGGCCACTGGTGGTCCACCGACCACTGATTTCTTCCAAGTAAACATTGAATAGTACATAGGGTAAGAAAAAATAAAAATAATACACCGTTCCTCTAGAACAGTGTTTCTCAACATTTATGTAACCGTGGTCCAGTAAATTTTTTTGTACGAGACGGAGTTCCAACATAAATACCTCATGATAAATCATAAATACTTTTTGAACTTTTTCGAAGTTGCATATGTATATAAGTATCAATAATGACTAGACTGCGGAGCTTTATGCATTTATAGGAAATATGAATGCGCGAGAAACTACAAAATGCGTACATTATGCAATAATATAAACAAATATTGAAAGTAAAGTTTATATTATAATATTTGGATAGTAAAATTGAATCCTATCTAGGTTCTATTTTTCTAGGTATGTTTCCGATGATTTTATTTTGCATAAAGATCCGCAGTCTAATAACGACATAAGTATCAATAATTCTTACTTATGGTATAATCATAAAAACTATTGGTTCACATATTTGTATATAGAACATGTAAAACAATATCAAATCTCCTCCTGCGGCCCGCAAACTTGGTATTTATGACTTATTTGAGCCGCAAACTTTCAGTCTGATATCAGAATTGCAAAATTCAAAATGACGGATCCGATATGACCGACATGTATATCAAAAAGTCGGGTCTAGAATTTCTAGAATTAAAAATTGCGATACGAGATGTCAAGATGGCAAGTATCAACTTCGTACATGGTGTACAATTTGTGTTAAAATTTACGAGGTATATGCTGTAGAAATTTATTTGAATAAATCGAGGGTGGAACTGTGTATTATTTCGATTTTTTTTCTTTGCTCGGCTTGTTTAGCGACTACCACCTGCTGGATCGACTAGAAGGGGAATGCATCAGGAATCTCTTACGTACCCTTACCTTGGTTAGGTACTTGGAGTAAGGAGGCGACAACCAGCTGACATCGACCGCTACAATCTTCCCCGTGGTGTCCAACTTAACAGTGAACTGCTCGATGGACGAACCGATGGGCTTCTCGTTCGGCGGTATCCTTCGAGCCACGCACATTACGCAAGGACCGATGTCCGAGGATTCGGAGGACACGTCACCGCTCTCCAGACGATCGCTATTACTTGGCAAAAGAGCTGAACAGATTTGCATAGACTCGTATTTCGATACTCGTTGCTGCTTCTCTTCCATAGTCTCTTCTTTATCATCGGGCGGCTTCACCAAGAAGCGGCAATTGAAGGTACGATTCTTCGCTTGGGGCTGTGGCTCGCTCGTCCAGCCTGAATTACATAACGTTCGCTTAAGCCTCGTGCTTGCTCGCAGGGGAGAGTAATTAAATAATTCTTTCTGGAGTAAGCGACTCCATTGGTTTTCCTCTGCGAATTCCAGGAATATAATTATCCTCGTTTCTAAAATAAAATACTGGTCTCTTTTCTAACTACTAACACTAAAAACTACGATCGAAGAGATTGCAACGGAGGATTGCAACGGAGGATCGAAACCCGGAATATACCCAGAATAAAACCAATGGAATTGCTCGTTTGCGTCACGAAGAATTACTTTATTAAACATCGTTTGATTTTAAATTAAACAGAGTGGTTTCGCTTCCTTCGTTTTCGAACGGACGTTTTTTGCTCCGTTTCACAACGTCAAATAGTCACCGTAATTTTCGAAAGAGCAAAAGATGACTAGTCCGGTTATTTATCGTGATAAAACAAATTGCAACGAAATCGTAGCAAGCGGTGGTTAGAAAAGCAAGCTACCGAAGCGCACCGCGGTTATCGGCTAGCGTCGAGTTTCTGCTTAGCTCGTGAATTTTGAAACCGTCTTCTTCCATTACACAAGATAAATCATCCCGTTGCAGAACTGCCGGAGTTCGTAACGAGACGAGATAAACCGAAAAGGCACACGCGTAAATAGATGCCGAAGTTAAACATTATCATAACTGGCCCCGACGTATATGAAACGCGCTCATAAATAATCGTTTCGTCATGTGCCCTCGAGGCCGAAAGACCGAAGATGGGCAAAATTTTATTGGAACGATAAACAACGAATAAGACCAAACCTATAGCAATTTATTCGTGGCGTTTGCCTCGACCGAACACTTTTAGTCGCCCATTGTGAAAACAACTCGTTCCATATTGACGCAGGTCTGTTTGATAAATAAATTATGATCATGTGTAGAATTTCACCGATCGATCAATTCGTACATCTTTGCTGTCAAGACGATATAAATTGTATCGCGTCAACCAATTTTTACTACGTTATTTTATTTCAAAATATATCATTCTATTTGGTAAATCGATTGTGTACCTATACAAAATTTCATTTATAAATTGATTTTTATGAAATCGCAGATCTATACATGCAATTTATTTATCGAATAGAATTATATGCAAGTGTAACGATTCAGTTTCTAAGTTACAGAGTATAGGTTACCGTAAAGTCTACGCGATATTTCTACGTGTATAGAAACGTTACGTCAAGTTTTTCCGAAACCTACAACTTATGATCTCGGAACAAGACCGAAATTAAAGAAATAAACAAAACGTGATTACGTTCTAGAGTAATCGAAGTAAAATTCAAATACTAATTGCTATTTAACGCATAACGAACAAACAGTCGTTCGTCTTTTCTTCATTTCAACTAGATAAGAATCTTGCCCAATCTCCATACATCTTGCAGCCTCTATTTAAAAATAATGAAACGAGAGGTATCGTTTTTTCCAGAACTAACGCAACAAAAAAGAGAAAAAAAAAAGAAAAGAAAAAGAAAAGGAATATTGTATCAAGGGGGTACCAACCTAGTGACATGGGCAACAAGCTCGGCATGAAGGTGTTGTGGTCTCCATGGTGAATAATATTATAAATATCCTTGCCGAGCACATCGTCCCTCGTATAATTTATATATTGTGTTATATTATCCGATACGCACTCCACGCGTCCCTCCGTATTTACAACAAATAGAAAGCCATCTAGCGCCTAGACAAAAATTCAGAACACGGTTAGAGGATGCCGATGCGATGTGCGATGAGCTGACGATAATATTTGGAGAGCTGATCGTGTTGGGCGATTACGTCAACGCGTACAATTAATCCATCGATTACATCAAAATTAACGTTCTCTTTTCGTGTGCTTCGTCAAGGATTGTCCTAAATAGCAATCAATATCGAATTTTCAATCCGTACCGTGCGAAGTAAACGAACGACTAAATGACCATCAATTCCTAACTGAGCGATTTAATGAAATTTTACATCCTAATGAAACTTAGATCGAACTTATTCGAAGTGGGTATAGCTGCAAACGCTGACAAATCAAGTACTATACTCCTCTCCCGATGGGCATCTCTAACGTGCAATTTCGCGCGGTACAAGAAGACAACCAGACTTGGCATAGTTCGATTTCTATTTAAAGGACAGTCGATTATTTACAGCTCATTTCTCGCGCTGGTCATTCTTCCATCCGTGGTAACGCTTAGGCGCGACTTAATTACGCTCGACGCAAAGACAATTCTCCTCGAAATCGATTCAGATTATCTAATCTTCTACGTTACCCCTGACGCGTAGCAATTAGAACCCTCCCGCTACGTCCAGATACGCTTAAAACGTTTTTAAAAATTACACGAACTGGACTCGTCGCAACTTAAACCCTGCGGTGTAGAGTCGCTAAATGTGCATCGAACCGAACGAGAACGAAACGAATGTGGTAAGAGTTGATGAAAGTAAGTAGGAGTATCGAAACAATTTCGATTGGTGGAATTCGGTGGGTCGGTAAGAGAGAATTGATTCATACCTCGAGTAAAACGGAACCAACTTGATCGCTGGACAGTATGTTACGATTCGACGAAGACACTTCACCCTGTTGAACGGCATGACTATTCGAGCCTTTCTGTTGCGTAATGTGCTGCATCTGTACAGAGAATGGGATTACATTGTTGATAAAATTAAATAGACCAGCTTGGAATTCGATAAATTCATCGTGAATACTAGGAACAAAACAGACGATTCGTGAAAAAATACACGGGTGTCCGATAAATGTTGCAAGTCCTTGAAAGGGGTGGTTCAGGGGGTGATTTGAAACAACTTTTTCCTTAGCGAAAATGTTGTCCGAGGAGAGTTGTTTTTTGAGGAGATATTAACAGAAAACTCCGGACCAATCAGAGCGCCCGCAGTAGCATAGACTACGCACTAGACAGCCGCAGTAGTATAGGGTACGCGCTGGACAGCCACAGTAGTATAAGCTACATGCTAGACAGTCGCGCTCTGATTGGTCTGGATATTCTGTTAACCCTTTGCACTTTGCACCATCTCGTTGCAAAACATGCGAACAGGAATCGCATTACATAAAATAGTCTAACTTTGGAAACGTGTCGTTTTTGGTATTATTAAACTTGATTATAAATTCTTCTAGCTTTCTTGATGCGGTAACACCACTACAAACATAAATCCTGTATGGTGTTACTAACAAAATTTGTTAGACTTACGATGTCCCATCGTAAGGGACATCCGAGTGCAAAGGGTTAATATCTCCTTAACGAAGCCCCAGACCACATTTTCGCTAAGTAAAAATATTGTTTCTAATCACCACCACTTTCAAGAACTTCCAACATTTTTGGGACACTCTATATAGTTGAATAGGAGAACATGTAGTTAAATAAAGGAAAAAGCGGCCTGAAAGCAAGAAGAACCATCGTAAGCTCCATCTCCCACTCTCAAGCTTGCCCCCAATCACGATTCACCGATAACGAAACGCGTTTATCGTTTAAAATGTCAATATCGATTACTTAGTTGCAATACAAAAAAAATGTGTTCATCATTAATCCTAACTCCAAACAATTTACCCAACAAGATATCAGCAGAGGAAATCTACTCGATCGAGTTGTAAAATAAATCACGGTTCCAATATCCCTGCAACTTAATCAATACGGTTGTCAACACGAGTAATATCGAAATAAAATCAGTAATAATTTTTAATTGCCACGATCGCTTCCTCTCGAAACTGTTTTGTTACTTTCATTTGTCAACCGAAACGGCTCGCATTTTTCCGTTCGTTATTTTAATATCAAAAATCGTTCTTTATTTATAGCGCGACGAAGACAAAAGCAACATTGCGCAAGACGCGAGATAACTACGCCCGTGGACGTTACTCGAAACATTCTACGATTAAATATTAAATTTGTCGTAACTGGACGAATGTTTGCGGACTCTAATGCACGGGAATAATTTCGGAGATGAAATCAGCGCACGTGATTTAATGAAAACGGGTCAGGTAAACGGTTATCCGTGTCATTCGTTCCTACATGGCGAATTGAATCGAAATTAACGAATAACAATTGCAGAAATTTATCTTGGCACGAATGGAAAAATGGATATTCGCTGTTAAAATGAGAAAGTCTACCAATTACAAGTTACATGGTTCGTACTGCGAATAAAAATTATTCCGTTGTGAAATTACGCCAGATTACGAAACAAGAAGAAAATAAGAGGAACAGATTGGTTAGAAAAAATACTGTACGATAATACCCGACGGAAAATTGTTGAGCTGCGTGCGAGTTTCCTTGCCACTCTTACTTCTTAATTCTGACGCGATTATTGGCACACTCCGGCAAATATTTGAACTGATAATCCACATTCCCCCGTCTCGTGATAATTGAATGCAACAAACCGTTGCATCTGTCCTCGCTATCAGAAGCTTCAAACAATTACTCATCACCCTGTTTGTCAGCGCGATGGAGCTCGAGCACGATTCCTCCGCGACCTCCAAGACGACCATAAATTTGCGAGTAGGTTCTTCCGTACGTTTCCTCGTCAATTTCTAATTATTCCGAGTATAAATAAACGAAGCTAAATCGGCAAAACAAAGATAAACTCATCGCCTACTATTATACCCAAGAATGCCAGCGGATGAATCAGAACCTGTCCCATACTTTCCCTAATAAACGAGAGTAATAATTGAAATCGTTTAAAAACGACGCACGTCTTAGGGCGAAAAGAAAAGTAAATTCCAAATCGTTGAACATTACTCGACAAGAAATAACCGCGCAGGACGAAAATATTTAACGCGGATGTTAAAAAGAAAAAGCGTTGAACTCGTCGCGTTGCCATTCTGTAACGCAAGGTTAACCGTGCAAGTCAGCGGTGCGCAAAGCTATTCGACTCGCGTAATAATATACCGATTGTTAATATTTTTGTAGTATACAATATTTTCGCGTATCATTTGCTCAGCGCGCGTCGATAAAGTAGCCGGGAAGCTCCCGTCGATAAAGCGGCCAAGCAACACTGTCTTTCGACTTGATTTATAAACACTATCGAGATTCCGAACTGGAAGGTTATTTTTATCAAAATAAAAACGTAGTTTGCGTGACAAGGGATATCGTGGCTTTGTGTTGCGGAGAAAATTTTAAGAATCGGTTCGGTAGTTCCAGAGATTACGTCTAACATCCAAACAAATTTTAGATCTTTATAATATTGGTATGGATATAATGTAACTTTGTCTGAATCGTATCTTATTTAACGTGTAGCATAAGCTTGAATCGATTCTTATATCTTGTATACAGTTTAAAGTTTAATAAGTGGTTCCGTTCGACCCGATAAACGAGAAAGGTTGCGCGCCACTGGTGTAAGTGGAACACGAAGAGAGAAGGAAAGTAAAATCTCTGCGTTACCGGCCGAGTTTCACGATCGTGAGGGAAATGCTCGTCCTTGAGCTCATATTTCCCAGCACCGATAGATCGCGCTCGTAATCGGAGTGAATTGAAGCGCACGGGCACACAACGTACACCGTGGCCTCGAAAAGTCGGTGACTCGGCGGCTGAGTCCGACAAACGGTTTGCGACGTTGCCGCTAGCCTCTGCTTTAAAGCGTATATATTTCTCCCGTCCCATCGCACACGTCGCACGCGATAAATTCTTCCTCGGTCGCTGTCGGAACCGTCAATGCAAGGAACTTCGGTTTCTATAATAAAAAAAAAAAAAAAAAAAAAAGAATCGATTCGAAAAATCGTTTCCCCAGTCGCTCCATCCCTATACGACCCGAAACTTCTAAGCAGAGATGGGCAAGATCCTAGACTTCGAATAAATCGGAAGTTTGCCGATGTGTTTGTCCCATTTCCTTCTTTGGAAAATGTTCAGGTTTGCCAATCACTGCTTCTTAGGTTAGATATGCAGGTTCGCATTTGCGATAGGAAAAAAAAAAAGGAACTAGAATTAAGCGGTACATTACTCATCCTGTACCAGTGATTTTTCAATGGCGGAGGATTTTGAAAGTAATCGATCTTCAGGCGGGTATAACAATGACGCTTAAAGAGGGACGAGTCCTATGTTCGATTGTTATTTAGGAATGTGGCTTGAATGAACATTTCAAAAGCTTCAGAATTTATTGGGTGGAAAGCAATGCTCTCTTTGTCAGAGGTAACATCGACTATTGATTCCTACTCCAAAAACGATTCTCGTCGAAATCGAACGTACAGAATTCGGTATAAAAGTTTGATAATCATCTTAAAGAGTATGAATTGCGAATGGAATATCTCTGTGCCAATGTTTCCTTGATCGAAAGCATCGTGTTTCGAACCAGAAATAGGTCAAACAAATACAACTGCATCGCGAGGTCAGGGGGACAAAAATTGCATCGATGGGTCATGCAATTCCATTGTCAACGTGTTTCTAGAGTCCCCGTTTCCTGTAAATTCCTTTAACAACACGCTCGACTATCATCGCTAACCACTGTCGGTATGACACTGAACGGGAAAAAGATTTCGTTGCAAATTAACAATTGATTCTACCTCGGTCACGTCGTAGGACAGGATGCGCGTGGCTCTGCTGCGCAGATGACGTCACACGAACTCTTGCTCCGGTAGCTCAGGTTATAACGCCGCCGTTTGGAAGGTTTCCTATTGGCCTCGGTGACGTCACATTCAAGGTCACGTGACAAACTTTCAAGAAGTACTTTCTTAACGATTTCTCGAGTCTAGGGAATTCGTGCGCGACGGAAGCTCGGCTAGGGACCTTCGAATCTCGATAAAACCAAATGGTCGAAATCTGTGTGTTTCGTTACTGCAAAGGTTGGTACTTTGCCGTAAGAAAATGGCGGGGAAATACGTTTCGAGAAATTCTTTCGACCAAGATTGTCAATAATGAAATTTAAAGGGAAAGAATTAATTTCTATACCTAAGTAACGTTGCAATTTGTGTTTAGAAGCGTCCACCGCAACGTGTCGAACGGAGAAGAAGACGAACGAGGGAATATTGCGACCCCGGTGCAAGGAATCGACATGTGCTCGTTGTCGAACCGCAGAGCTAACGCGTTTGGAAGAACAGACGGGAAGTTCGACCCCCTTCCATTTCTGTTCTCCTTCTCTGTTCGCAAGAACTTCTCTGTTTCTACGGACGGACACGACGCTAGCAATTAGACGTTGGCTCGGACCAATTATCGTTTCGCGTATTTTCAGCAAATCGAATATATCTGGTAGTTTGCTCGACCCCCTCGTCGCGATATCGTGGCTCACGGTTCATTTCATCTGTTTTTTCTTCCCCGCGTCCGAGATTGAACTTGACGCGACGTCGAGAGGGCGTGCACGATAGAATTATTCCGAGATGTGTTCACTTGGATACTCAATTATAAATATTTGGCATATATAACTATTAATTAATACACTAATCGAATCTTTACACGATAAATGTTGACTCTGGGTGAATTCCTTTGCACGGATCCTCTTTATACTTTTAGTATCGAATCGTACAATTCAATGTTTCGATCATGAAGACTGTATAAGGAGATCCAACTCCATACGAAAGTTACTAGAAAACTGTTATCAGAATCCCGAGCTTTAAATTGTGAATATTTCGTCCACTCGCGGCGCTAGTGAGCACAGATATATATATATACGCTCACTAGCATCGCGAGTGGTAGAAATATTCACAATTTAAAGCTCGGGATTTTGATCACAATTTAAAGCTCGGGATTTTGATCACACTTCTGCACTACACAATTGGAACTCCTTATACAGTCTTCATGGTTTCGATTCATTTCTTAACGAATTAAAGCTTGTATCAACGTAAATTTGAATTGGTTGTTCTAACTTTGAGAATTGATTAAATACGTAGCACACGTGTGTATATAAGGAGAGTATAATTTTGCGACTAACTGTATATCTAGTAACTTTAACGAGCAGCGCCCTTGTCGGCGTACCGCGACGGCCAGGAGCGGAAACATCGAGGAAAGGCGGGGAAAAACAAAACCGTGCGTTGTAAACAGTGGCGAAACGGAGCGGATCATTTCCATCCCGAGAAAAACACACGGTTGAAACTTCGCAGCAAAATATTATTGGGCGGAGAGGAATGTCTTCGGGAGCGACACGACACTTTTCACCCCAAGACGAAACTTATTTTATCGATGCACATATACACGCGCGTATTTCCTTTCTTCCAGAAATAAATTTCGCGAGAGGGTACATTTAACTTCTTCGAGAGAAACTGCTTTGTTCAACATTCTCTTTCCACGCTTTTTTTTCACTTCTCGTTCCCGTTTCTCTCTCTCTCTCTCTCTCTCTTTTTTTTTTAAGCATGTCCACGGAGAAATTTATTCTCTAATTTCGGTGATTTATTCAAAGTGGAGAGCGAAGGATAGGGAGAGATTTATTTTTTTATTTCGGGCCACATTTCATTTTCCGAGAAACACAAAAAGCGCCGGAGTGAATTACGGGACGAGATATTGGTTGGTTCTTTTGCGAAATGGTTAACGATTTCGGGATCGCTAACGCGTCTTTTTCGAAAGGACCATCGAGATTTCGTGTCTTTTTAATAATAGGCACGGAATGTTCACGAGTATTCGCGTGGCGATCAACGTGTTAAACGATCACCGTGGACTTTAAAGTTCGAATGTACTCTTTGCCGTTTGCGTTTAATTAAAAATAAGGATCCCGAAGTCTCCTTTAGAAAAGCCTGTAAGTTCACGTTACCTGTTCCACTAGCGAAGGATTGCGCGCCGCTGTATGGTCCGCGAAAGCGTTAAATGCGTCCGCGAGTCGACGTAACGTTTCAATGGTATCTCGCAACAGTATCTAGGAGAAACTGTCGGAAGGCTTCAATGGACGCGAATCGTATCTTCGCGGCGTCTTATTATTGACCGGCATCGGTCAATCCGTAGCCAGCCTTCGAAACGAACAGAATAACCGACACAAACGGCCTGCGCGTCTTTACAAAACCGTAGAAAGTCCGCGCGAGGATACGACGAACGGAGAGAATCTCTTTCGCGAAATGAAACTTGGAGCTCGAACCTACCGATTATAATTAATCTATTATACGATCGTCCCAGATTTAGGCGATCAAACTGTGCCAACACGTTCTAAGCATAGAATCGACGAGGGAAATCGATACCTTGGACGTTACGCGTTAAAATTAAGTTTGGTATGTAATTACCGTTATAAAAAAAATGCAAAGAATACAGCGATGAAAGTGAAAATGGCACTCTGTACGCGATGTTAAGTACTCTGTGAAAGCAGCAGCACCGAGTCGAGGTATACTAATTGTCAGTTTCATCTTAAACGTCTCATCTCGCTGCCAGTAATTCTATCGATTCCATCGAGATTACTGTTAATGAGTGGAAAACGGATACCGATTATCGGACATTAGTGCTATAATAGTTCTGCTACTGTGCGATGCGCGATGTTGTTTCAGTAATTTCCCTTTTAACGAATTAATCACGCTTTACGCGTTTTATTATTGGAGCGAATATAGAATTGTCTCGAAATTAGCAACTCGGTCGGGACCGGCGAGTTGCTTATTTCGAGGATGGTGTGCTATTCGGCTTGAGTTTATTCTCGAGAGAAACGAGGGGACTATATATATATATATATATATATATATATAGTCACCTAATCAATAAATCGTCACAAAATATTTGCATATCATTACTTTAGATTTTTGTAAAAAAGAAAAAAAGTTTAAGAAGCCCTGCGCTATAAATCGATACTATTTAATTGCGACGAACCGGGGGGGCGGGGGGGGGGGGGGATTGATCTAAGGTCGCGTTCGTGTCGTTAGACGCGCGAGGAAAGAATGTAGAAAACAAACGAGGACGAAACCGAAGAATGCGAGAAAAAGAAAAAGAAACGAGTGAAAAACAACTTTCTAATCTATTGAAATGTATTGAAATTTTGAAGGAAATTGTCTCGTATTCCTCGCGTGGAAAAGGAAACGAATCCCTCGATCACACGACTACGTGCCGAACCGTCGTAAAAAGCGACGTGCATCGATCGGATCTCGAAGGACTCGGCGAGTTTATCGATCAGCCATTTGAAAGGCAGAAACGTACAAATCTGTCTTCTTACCCGGTCGACGGCTCTCTGAAGGATCTGGCATTTGTCAGTCTTGCCAGAGCTCATGTCCGTGGCGGAAACCAGCTCGGCAATCTCATCGATAAAATGGCTCTCCAGGTTCCGTCGTCTTTTCTCATTAAGGCACTTGTTACTGTAAACAATCAAAATCGACGATCACTGATTGTCCGTTGCACTCGATTACACTATCAATAAATAACATTCGGTAAAAATGGCGTGGCTCCAAGTCGAGTACCATTCGGTTTCGTTTCTTTTACCCTTCCCCTCTTCTGCCCCGGCATTTTTGATAAGTGTCGCGACAGGTCTCGGGGAAACTTTATCGCGGTGTCGATTGCGATATCGTCACGCTTCTAGTTATATTCGTTGCAATTTCGATTGTATCTGCGATGAAATCAATGAAAATCGAATACTATATGTGCACGAATAATTTGAAATTTGCTCCGATGTAAATAGTATAAAAAACATTAATATATCTAAGAACACAACCGATATTTAGTCACAAGAAACAAGATATCTGATATTTTGATATTCTGCTATGAATAAATAAATATGCAAAGTTCGAAAAGGCTGTTATTAATTATGCGGTCCAGCAAAAAGTCTCTAAAAAAAACACGAGTTTTTAGCGCTCTAGACCAGATGACCGTAATCGATAATGTTAATCACTCTTTAAAGTGATAAAGGTGGCGAGCGTTTGTTATTAGTAGCGTCATTAAGTATACCCCTTGTGTTTGGTCACGTACAGGATAATTCCGGACCCTGAGTCTGGGTTCAGCTCTTTTCTAAACGAAGATAAAGTAAATTGGTATAACGAAATGCTGCATGATTAAACGTGGCTAGCCTTTTCCGTTCATCTCTCGGAAATGATGATTAATTGAACAGCGATTAACACGTTTTATCGATGTGCGATTATATTTAATCGATAATTTTGTTTTATTAAGCTATTGGAAAAGAAATTGATTCTTACGAAGCAGAGCGATCCGTAATTTCGTTAAAAAATTTGAAATCGTTTAGAACAAGTTCTCGATACATCAAAGTGATTTAACGAAGACTTAAATTAATGCTTGCACTTGATACTTCGAACAGAATGGTAACTAGAAAACTTCTGATTGTGCCTACGCCGCTGGGAAATACTACTTTTATCGGGCACCATACGATACGAATTAATTTCTAAAAATATCCTTAAACCAACGCTATTCTCATTCTCAGATGCTCGCGCATAACCAGAGCTCGTATAAACTTTATATGAGCTTCCGAGAACGAAAGTAGAACGAGTTAATCTCGCCTTCTTTTGTGCGTGCCGTATAAAGGCCAGGAATACGGAAGTTACTTGTATATTTCCAACATTTTTAATTTATGTCCCTCTTATTCTCAGGGTCTCTGACGATGTACTCAAAGACAACCCGTATCCTTGCTTCGCACAATAGACTATCGGGTTGATTCGTAAATAACCACAGTTTGTTAACTCAAAATTTATTACCAGATAATACTATATTACTACATCTTGATCGATTATATGTATAATTGCCATTAGTAATTATCACGCGTTCCCATTTAGCAGACCGAGCAAAGATTGGTAACTGTAGAAAGTTTCCAACAGAATATGATTAATTTGCTATCTCCAGTGAAAGGTTATTTACGAACCGATCAAATGATTCCGTTTGAAACAAAAATAAATTTTAATCTCGGCCACGACTCCTAAAGACTCTGCTTGGAAAAGTTTGTACAATAAAGTCTCTATAAATGCACAAACTCGGGGACAGAACTAGTGCATTTATGGTAGATTTATGGTATTTATTTGCCGACAAGCTTCGAACGTAGAGAAGAAATTTTTACTATCATATTCCTGACATTTTTCTAATTAAAATGAGACCAAATACGATATAATTCGGACGATATATACGGTGCATCTTTTTTTTAGTTAGTGTTCTACGATATACAGGATGTCCCAAAAATGTTGAAAGTCCTTGAAAGGGGTAGTTCGGGAGGTGATTTGAAACAACTTTTTCATTAGCGAAAATGTTGTTTCAAATCACCCCCCGAGTCACACCTTTCAAAGACTTCCAACATTTTTGGGACACCCTGTATGATGCATAATAAATTGTCACAAGTAAATATGTTGCGAATTTACGTTGTGTTTGGTCTCATTTTAATCGGAAAAAATGCCAGGAACACGATGGTAATAGTTTCACAACAACAAAAAAAAGTTAACAATAAAAAAGTTTCACCGTTGCATTAAATTTTCTCCTCTATATATTCTTGTGTCCTTTTCTTTATTCCATATCCTTCTCTACGTTCGAAGCTAGTCGGCAAATATCAGAGAATATACGATCGTGTAAACACTGCTGGTGGTGGGGATGGTTTCAGTGCATTTATGGAGACTTTACAGTATCGAGAAGAGTATTCCTATAATCCCCGGTGTATTTCAGCCCAAAGTAGAGTATTCGAGGAATTCGATAAACCGCGTACCGAATTTCGATAGTTTACCCAGTTTGCAGTCAAGTTCGGGTAATGTCTGGATCGATCTCTCGAATTTTCGCGAACCGCGTTATAGGCTCGTTAATCTTTTCACGGTCGCTAATGGATGACCTCTGTCCCGGGACTTCTGTTCGAGGAACATTACGGAAATGGTTCGTGACGAAACGACCATAAATCACGAAACTGAAACATTTAGTGGCGACGACTGATTTGCTCGCGGTAAGTATACAACGATCAATCAAAACTTAATCGAGAAACCGAACGAACGGCGCATTAATTAGAGGCGAGCGATTTTAATTGATACCATGGAACATGAGGTCTGTTTACCTTTCGACCGAGTGAATGGCGCGATGAAATTACAAACTTTTCTATTCGTTTGTCGTTCCACTTGCAATCTGTTCCTTTCTTTTCCCAGAGGAATTACTAGGAATACATGTGGATTGGAATTAACTGAAAGTAACTGCAAGACATTGATAACTAGACTACGGAGCTTTATGCATTTATAGGAAATTTTAATGTGCAAGAAGCTACAAAATGCATACAATATGCAAGAATATAAAAAAAGATTAAAAGTAAAGCTCACGTTATAATATTTGCAGAATAAAATTAACTCGTATTTAGATTCAATTTTTCTAGGCACGTTCCCCAAGATTTTATTTTGCAGAAAGATAGTCTATTGATAACCATTGTCTACGATGAGAATCCTCTGGTTCAACATTTTTCAATGGAAGCGTATTAATCTATTAGGTATTCCTCTACAATTTTTGTTATTAATTCTTCCTCAAAACCTGCCACTTTATCGTACCTAATATTACATCAGAATTAAAGAGGAATATTTACTCCAAAAGTGTCCCCACCCTATCCAGGACCCCGCACTTGCAAAGTACGACCCTATTTCTATCAACTACTTCAAATGATACGTAAACAAGCCCGCAAACTCCTCATTCCACGCGCCATTCTTTCCGAAATTCCGTCTTTATAAACTCATTGTTCTCTCGCACCGATTTCATCCCTGGACCCACTTACAAAAATACACACCGTGCGAAATGGTATAGCACGGAGATTCCCCGTCCACCCGATGGAATTTTCCTGCTCACGGCACGGAAAAAATATTTGACGTTGACTGCCGTATATACGCTCGCAACATCGCGATAAATCTCTGACGTCGACTCTTTAATACGCATAACGAATTTCCAGAAAGCTTTAAGTCGGGTTCGTCGAATTAAGTCGAATGAAAATCACCGTAAAGCGTGAGCTTCGGAGCTAAAGAACCGCGCGTATCTTCGTAAATTACAACGAAGGAAATCTATGGTATATGGTAAAATGTAAGGTAAGCAAGACAAAGTATGTGCAGGGTTGAGGACGTTGGACGACGGATTAGAACATTAGAAGGGCGAGGCAGTCGAGAATGCAGAGCGCTTAATCGATAAGACTCGGTAATGTAGAACGCTCGGTTCATAAAGCAGAGCGCTCGATTGGCAAAGTAGAACGCTCCTACTGGCAAAGTAGAACGCTCTATCGATAAATTCATCGACTAAAGGTAGATGCATATTCTAGATAGGGTAGAACTATACAGAAACTCCTGAATACATACTTGGGGATTCCCAAAGTCAACGGTTGCCTTCTGAACACAGATTATAGTCCTAACCCTAATCCCTACGTGGTATGTGACTTTGAGTTGTGTACCAAGTTTCAGCAACTATCGAGAGCAACTTAATACAAGCAACGACTTCATTTTCACGGAGGATTCTCTACTCACATTTGCGACTGAGACTTGGAATCTGATTTCTTTCTCTTCTTGGTGATGCTGCCAGTAATCGCACTCATTTTGACCCAAAGTGGGTCCTGTAGTTCACACGGGCTAGGCCTGCAACAAAAACGATAACATAATTGTAGCATACATTCTGGAAACAATCTCGAAACGTACAATTCTTCCACCATTCCATCAGAGCTCCATCAAGGAACTCTGATAAATATTAATCGACGCATGATTACAAATAACTCATCGAGAATCTCACTTCGAGGCAAATAAGAATCAAGTTATACAGACTTCAGGTGTATACCAAGGATCTGAAAAAGCTTCGAGAAACCTAACTGAGGCTTGTACGTGAGAAATGTTTAAACCTCTGCAAGGTAATTGTTGGAACGGGGCAATAATTTTCGCAACAATTCGCTCGACGCATTATACCTTTACCGTAATTGCAGCACGTTGACGCATTCCTACGTCTCGTTGTGCATTTTCGCCAAGGATGTCGGCGGTGGCAGCGTCGGACGTGTGCTTTATAAGTTCGTTTATCGACACGTGAGACGTGTATCCTATCGCGTGTCGCGTCGTGATGCCTGGCGGAATATTCGCGATGCGTACGAAGGGACGCGGGACAATTATGGTCAAGGATACGTGTACGTGTAGCCCATAAAACGCGAATTCATCGTGGCGTGCGTTTAAACCGTAATGCGCTGCTTCGAACAATTAGGACTAATCGTCAAGGATGAAACAGAGATTTCGATGGATTTTCGAATTTCTTTTGGTAAAATTATACTTGGAACTGTATGCGAGGATTAGGTAAAGGGATAGAAAATGGCGTAGGGTGGACTCGTGGAGTTTGAGATTTGAAGTCAAGACCTTTTGATTGATAATACAGTAAAGTCTCCAGAAGTGCACAAATTCGGGACTAAGCTAGTGCATTTACAAAGACTTTACTGCAGTTACACTCTACGAATCGTGTTTGTTATTCCTCTCTTTATTGTACTGGGTATCGTTAGAAATGCTCGGTAGACTGAATCCCAGTGCAACTGCGATACCAAATGAACTATTAATGACGATTTCGGAGTCAGAAATGAGAATTGAATAAGAAGCTTGACTAAGAAGCCCTTATTTATGTCGACTTAACTTCGACATACATTCAACGCCTAACAAATTTCCCGTCTATCACTCGCTCGCAACAAAGAAGCAAGGATCGAATCTAACGAGCCACCTATCGTATAGGTTAACAGCGCGAAAGACACGGCGAAACAAATAACGAGCGGCATAAAGCGCTCGGATACTCGGTATGTACGATTCTAGCGTTGCGCAACAATCCCACGTGGTTAGGTTATTTCATAATCGATCCAAGTACGCTAAGGAATCGCGTTAAACGCGATTCTAATTGACCGCGATAATTTGTTGTTGATTCGATGAAATCAAACGGTCCGGTTGAGGGCGCGGATGCATTAGTCAGCCAACGGTAAGTAGGCAATAACCGGGAGAAGGAGACTGCAAAACGAGCAAACGTAGATGGAAGCCAGATTGAACGCGGATAGCCACCCATTACACGCTCAGCTGCGTCTGGGAGGGATCTACCTACGCGAAATTTTCATTTGCGGCTCGCGATCCACGGTATCGATAAAAAGTCACGAGAGAGGAATCGGATAGCTGGTTTATCGCGGTTCGACGACACTTGGAAAGTCAGGGAAAGATTTAAACGGTTTTCTCACCTATGCGCCCTTTACACGTGTATCGGATACTTTCTTTTACTCGTTCAACCTCGAAGAGAGTTCGGCCGGGAATCTTCCACAGCGGCGCAGCTGTGTTCATTCTCTGCATCGTTTCTTTATCGAATTGTTACAACATTCGTCTTTATCGAGTGACTGCAACGTTCGTGTTTATCCAATTATTTCAACAATCGCGTTTATCGAGTTACTGGGTGACGCTCAAAAAATACGTTCTATTTGTCGAGAGTGCGATGACCCGTAGAACGAATATACAGTTATGTCTTCGTAACTGCACAAGCTCGGGACTGACCTTGTGCAGTTATCGTTGAGTTCGTATATTCTCTGATGTTCACCGACGAGCTTCGACCGTGGAGAAGGACAGCGAATAAAGAAGAGGACGGCGCGAAAACACCAGGGTATGTCGGCGAGACAATTCAATGCAACGATGATACCTTTTTATTGCTAACTTGTTCGTTGTAAAACTTTCACCATCGTATTCTTCACATTTTTCTGATTTAAACGAGGCCAAATGCGATACAATTCGGATGATATTTACCATGAATCTTACTTTAGTTAGTGTTCTACATAATAAGTTGTTACAAGTAAGTATATTTCGCGAATTACGTCGTGTATGAGGGTAAACGCCCCATAACTTTATTATTTCTTTTCTCGGTTACTATTTCAGATATTTAAATTCTGCAAAAACGAAAATATTCGTACTTATAAACTGCACCTCATATATTTTTTTCCAGGGCACTTTTTCGATACCCTGATTCTTTTAACCCTACTAAAAAAAATCAAGAATGATGATCGGTTATTGCATATACTTGCATTTCACAGTTTCTTGCACCTTCCACCAATTTCCTACGAATGCATAAAGATCCGCAGTCTACTAATTACTAATGTTAAACATCGATCAATGATAAAGAAAAGATGTTCCCTATAAATGTTGACTGGTTTCTCCATTAATAAACAATTCTCTATTCCCGAAAAGATCCGCGATAGGTTCAAATTTCTCGCGGCATCTGGATTCGACTTAATCCAACCAACCTTAATCGTTCCCTATGACATCACTGTTCGATTATCGGTTCGGTATACGCGATTGCGTTCGAGAAAGCTCAACAATAACGAAGGTCAGAGTACAAGAGATAAAGAACAACCGATAGCTTCGTCCGATTCAATATCGTTGCACGACGTTTCAATCAATTTTAACCAACTTAGTTAAACCCTCGACTGGTAAGGTCAATCGCTCGTTACACGGGCTACTACATTGTCGGACGAAGTCAGTCTGAATTGATAAAAAAAAAAAAAAAGAAAAAAAAGAAATCTAATCAGAGCACTACGTTCTCCCCCTATCTCTCACACTTTCTGCTTCCAGAAACTTTAAACAAACCTCGAGATTCTTTAAAATCTCTCCAGAAAATAAACCAAACTCTAAAGAAATCCCGTGTTTCTGTTAAAATAGTATTCGTACACGGTGTTTACCATATATTACTTCAACTGACCCTGTGAACCGCGAGTCGAAAGCCGAAGAACACGATTTAAAAAGGTACAATTATATCTTCCAAGTACATCGTTGCACTTGTTGAAAAAATGAGGTCACAGAGAATTATACGTTCGCAAACCATTCAGCTGTTCCCTTTATCGTGTTTTTGTATCCGCAACCGAAAAAGAGATACGACCCGTCCCAGTTTCCAGAATCGTCCTACATACATTATACATATCTACGAAAGCATAGTCCAAAGGACGATGCAACAATTGGCCCTATTTAGAGCAATTTTTCCAAATCAACTTGCAACCGTTCGATTCCGCAACTCGAGCGACACTTGGTCGACAGAGGAGACACGCTCTTCCCGTTGTCAAACATTCCGTTTCTGCTTGCGATTCTCTCTACTTCCAACTTCCGAAGCTAGACATTGGAACAGGCTTGGTTTATTCTCTAGAGAGATTTTAAAGGATTTCGAAATTTGTTTAAAGTTTCTGGAAACAGAAGGTGTAAGAGATAGGGGGAACGAGTGCTCTGATTTGATTTCTTTTTCTTCTTCTTTTAACCGACTTCGAAAAAAGAGGAGGTTACTCAATTCGACATGTATCGGGTTGTCCGGAAAGTCCATGCCGATTTTTTGTTGGTGGTGTAGGTTTAAATGTATTGAAATATTTGAAAACGAATAACATATATCCATCCCTTAAAAGGTGTGGAAAGGTTATGAAACAAAGTGGTACATATGTAATTCAATAAATATATATATATATAAAAATTCAAATACGCCTTTGCATTTTTCTTAAAACTTGGCACGAACTTTCTGGACAACATATATATATATATATTTTTTTTTTTCAAGGTACGTTTACCGATTACGCCGAGATGGCTTAACCAATCGGAATGAAACCTGTTGCATCTTGTAGTGCGTGTCTCCCCGGTGGTCCCATTATCGAGATTTTTTTCGATATGTCTTTTTTTACCCGCTTTTTTTGCAAAAAAAAAAAACCGTAATTATCAATTCAGAATGACTTCCGATGCGTATATGGTTCGTTTAAATTGCGAGCGTCGGAAAAGAATGCGTGATAGCGTTGGACAAAAAAAGCCGAAGCGATCGTTACCGAATCAACACGTAATAAAAGCGTTCGCGATTTTAACAGAGTTCTGCTTCTCATGGAATATCCGATCGATCTTTCCAACACCTAAAAATACGTATAACAAGTTCGTCGGATCATTCACGCCAAGAGGCGATCTGTTAGCCAATTTTGGCAACTTGGGAAAAGGGCCACGAAGACGTCTGAATATCTGGCAGATATTCAAACGCTTGTTGATCCGTCAACCGAATCAAGGATCTCCTGAGATGGGTAATAAATCGCTCCAAGGAGCCCGTGAAAACTTCGTGGCTCTTCTGAAGAGTGCTTCGAATAAAACTGGAGACTAGCGATAACTAGTTTTTTTTTTTTTTTTAAATTCCATACACGTCTCGACAATTTTTCTCAAATTTTTCATTGAAACGGAGTTTCGACCTGGACTGCACACAGTTGAAGGTACGAGCCGAAGCTCGAGTCTAGCTTCAATTTAACACGGAGCATCGTGTTTCCAGATATTCCACGGCAATTTCTCTAGCAAATATAGCCGACTGAACGGTGGCGTGTCACAAAGGGACAAATTGAACGCCCGCGTTGATCTTACGTCAGCTGTCCGACATAGTTACTACCCCGACACGTCACACCTAATCACCTACCGCGATCCGTGTTCGCCACCGCTGTCGCTCGAGCGTATAGTTGGCGCGATGTCTACGCGATAAAGATGATGATCTCGGGGTTTGCCAAAACGACGTGTTCAAGAGCTACACGGATTTATCCTTTTAACCCTTTACGCTTGGAGAGAGCCGAGCGACGGGGTGAACCTACGAA